AGGAAGGCTAAGAAACACAGTACTCTCAGAAATAGATAAAGACATGAGAAAAATGAACGAAAATTGGAAAGGACTGGCAAGGGAAGCACAGGACAGAGTTAGTCGGAGAAAACTGGTCGGCGGCCTATGCTCCATTGAGGTAACAGGCGTAAGAAGGTAAGAATAAGGTTCTGAAAAGAGAGATAGAGAGAATGGGGCAAGGAGCAGAACAGAAAATATTCTTGCTCAAAGCCGAAAAATTACTCTGCAGATAATATTTTTCGGACAAAATAAAGTTATGTTTACTCATACCTTTTTCTTTTTTTGGACACTAACTGTACATCTGCACTTATGTAGGTTAATTCAGACAAGTCACTGGTAAGATAACAAATGGACAATTAATCATATGAATAGAGGGAATTCAGAACTAAATTGTTAAAAATACAGAACAGAAATACGGAACATAATAATGAGGGCACAGTGATCTGATGCTTTAGTGATATTTTGTTTACCCTTCTTTTTAACGCTATAGTTCAAGAAGTACCAGGTGAGCTCTTTTTCACCGTGATGTTTTGGGTCCGCATGCAATAGGATTTCTTGGTAGGAAGTGAAACCAATGCAAGGTTACAAACATGAGTCGTAGACGTGGTTAACAAGGAAAAGTAACATCAATATGATTGATCAGTTAGATGCTGCTATATCGTAAGGAGCAGCAAGCAAACAAAATGTTCTGCCCCACAGACATGGGGATATTGAGGTTATCGCCCCCACCGTCGTGAATGCTGGTCAGATACACCACCCTCCCTCCTTTTATAATGTTAGGCTCTCTTACGTTTAGTGGTAGATTTTAAATAATTATTTTTAGTATAAGCTCTATTTTTTGTACACCTTGTCGGAATACACTTTCTCTACCAGCTTCACGTTACAAGCAAACCAGGCAACTTTGGCTTCTGTACGTTGGACTAAGTATCCCCGTAGCATATCACATTGCTATTAAGTTAACTAATAGTATAAGTTGTAAGATATGGGTCAGTTACTAGGTAGTTTGGAGATAGGAGGGATAGGCTTCTGAAGAAAGAAAAAGAGGAAAAACTGTTAGAAATTCATGCGTAAGGCGATAAATGGGTAAGACAGCAAGATGTTTTGGTGTTAATAAATTGGGGAAATGAAAATTCATTAAACTGTTAATACGCGAACAAGAAGGAACTCACAATGATACAGGAAGTTTGAGTCCCTTGTAATTGACAGTAATTGGGCAGCATTTGCAAGCTTTTCAATTTATCTGTCTACTAGAAAAAAACCGAAAAGTGCTGTGAAAAATAAGAAGATAATGATTCCCATTTAAATTTTAAGAAAACTCCGAATGTTGCGGGTAGAACCTCAAAGCTGTGACTTTCTACTATTAGTAGGAGTGGGGAGACTCATCTATTATCTCGTGGTACCTGTACGGATGGAAATGCGGGTGCAATATATTCATGGTCTGTTATTAATTTCTAAGGTTATTCTAAATATTTGGTGGACCATAAAAGGGTGCCATCCTAGCAGTCGCCGGGTGAAGCCTCTTTGGACATTTTCTACTCGTATCTTGTCCATGATATTCATGTTTGAGAAGATAAGTGAGCGATATTCAAGTGAGGGCCTTACACACATTTTGAAGAGTGTAAGCCTAGCCTCATTTGTCGAGAAGTTCTTATTTACGGAAAATACCACTTTTGGGGTTTTGATCAAACATTAACAGCTGAAGATTTCAACACTCCATCCCTAAATATTGGCAAACAGTGTGTAAATCTAAGAGAGTGGTCCCAAAAGCAAATTGTCAGAGCTATTAGAAGTTACGGACTGACTTAGCACATGTGACGCCACTGGATGTAGGGATGATGGAAAACCATCAAAGGCCTATAATATTTTAACAAAAGACCGGCTCCAAGTCGAGAATGTCCATGTTCACACACAGAAAGGAAGTAGTAACAATGGTGCAGTCGCGTTTAAGATGATCATAAACAAAATACGGTTGACAAAAGCGAAGGTTATGAAAAGACAGGTGAGTGAGAGAATGAGGGAGTACACGAATAAGAACATCATCCTCCATGAAGCCCGAAACGGAATGATGAACTGTAGATCCTGCACATCAAGGGACAGCTGGAAAACCTGCTAGGACCTAAAAACACAGGTTCATGTAATATCCATTTACTTCGCAAAATTCTTAGACTTAGAACCCCAACGTACTCCTAACTGATCAACTACTTCGCGAACAGAATGTCTCGTGCCAAGGTAAATAGAATGCACCTGAGGTGGCGAGTCTCAGTATCAGTAGTTTCACAGAGGACCATCTTAGGTCCGCTATTCCTCCTCATATTAATTGTTGTCTTGTCAGATAACGTTATTTGAGTGTCCAATCGATTAGACCATTAGGTCAACGGCTCGACGACTGCTATAAAAGCTATCTGTTTCGGTTCGGACGTCCGTACAGTCTCCTAGGCTGCTCACAAATCTGACGATAAGATATTGTACTCAAAAGTCATTCGTGTAAGTAGAAAGACAATGCTTTAAAATGTTCCTTTATTCTCATCACTCATCATGACTAGATATAAAATCCGTGATTACGGGCACGGTCGTTTTCGTGTTCCGTAGCTCGTTTCAACCAAACTTCATCTAGCCATATATCGTTTCGAAAGCTCTGAATGACAACGTTGTTCGAGGTCACCAGTCTCGTGGTTTATCAGCGAATACTATAAACAAAACTTGACTACAAACAAGATTTCGTTTAAAATGCATAGTATGTTGATGTGTGCTTCGTCATTACAAGAGCCCATTGTTTATTTGCTATCAGAAATATTAATCAAATACTGCAGATAAATAACTTGTCATTTCTCTGAGTCTGAAAAATACGATGGTAGTGTGTAATAATGACTCACTGAGCCTAGTGTGAGAGTACTTCATTGTAATTGATGGATATTTTTGTTCAGCTTATTAAGTTTGCCAAGACCTTCTCTGGGCCGTTGTGAAATCTTTCAAAGCTGGGTTTTGTGACTTTATATACTGAATTTCATCTATCATTAGTTATCTATATTCAAAATAATATTTCGTTATTCAAATCATCTGAAAAACACTTTGAAACAGCTAAACCGAATGTAATTCGGGATCAAACATTTTACAACCACAATCGAAGACCGCTCCTAAATTTATCCTTAGGGCGAAGCCTCAGTTTAATAACCACAGAAGCCTAAACACAAGTTCTAACTACATAGGGGACGCAGGAGTGGCTAACGCAATTCTCCAATTTGTGCAAATAAAAATTTTTGCAATCATCCCCGAATTATTCCTAACACAGTTTCAAACATACGTACGCCCACACTTTGAAATTCACAATGTCTTCACATCTCCTCTCCATAAAAGATACATAAATCACCTCGATCGAGTGCAGAGACGAGCAACTGAGTGATAGGGTTGAAGAACAAACCTTACGAAAATAGACTCCAGCATCTGGGATGATTCTTTGTGATTTACAGGAAAATGAGAGGTTATCTGATAATGGTGCACAATATATTGAGCACGCAGAAAAATTCCAACATGAGCATCTTGCAGAAGCACCACCACTACGCTCCTTGTGGTAATCTTCGAAAAATCACACATCAAAGAGCGGAAACCCAGGGTTGTGCACACGTTTCCTCATTAATAGTAGTCCTAACTTGGAACGCTCTCCTGACCGAGGTGACCACAGCTCCCTCAGTGGACGGCTTCAAGAAGAGACTTGATAAAACGTACTCACATTTGAATTAACATCTCTCTCTTGGACCAGTTGTGTCTGATTCATGGCTCGAAACTTGCTAGTCGTCATTGTTTCCACTTCCTCGAATCACTAACTTCATCTATCGCTCTTATTAGCTCCGTTTCTTCATCTTTGTTCACACTTCTGTCATCTCGTGCAATCTTCAATGCCATTTAGTTGACTTATTTATCTATTTATTTATTCGCTCTGAAATCTCATAAGCGTTAGAATTTTCTCCTCATTATTTGCGAAATTGCGACTAACTGATCTCTGGCCAGGTAACGTGATAGATGCTAGTATCCAGAACCCCTACTGCCCACTCAAATCACGGAACAAACTGCCAACTGACTAGACTTAGTGCAGTCGAGTGACTAGACTATTATCTATTGAATACTATCAACAACTTGGATCCGCACAGAAAGAACAAGAACCGAGCGTATAGAAATCAATCGGTGTTTGCTGGCCTTTGTGAAGGATATTGGATATATTTCATCCCGCCAATTTTCAAAGTAATGGTTAGTGTTGAATTTCGGTATAAATAATTCTGTATGATTTATTGTCAATAAACTGATGTCTATTCAGCTCAGTCAGTATATCCAAATAACTGATATATGAGGGGTTTTTTAATAGTCTCTCCAGGATGCCATGAATTGTACCGTAAATTCGTTAGCTGGGAATATGTTTCGTTTCCGGCTGTTTACAAATTTCAAATCCGGAAGCTTACTAGTTATATATGTATTTTATCGCAGTTTGTATGTATCAAATATTATAATTTGAAATGGTTTTGATTGAGGAGACTTATTTGTTCACTAAACTGTAGAGCCAGTTTGGATGGTGTGTTAGGTAATAACTTCATAGTGTATGTCTGAATTTGTGGTTAAGTTATCTATCTGAGCATCTATACATTTGCAATCACTAGGTATTATTTATATATATAATTTTCGTAGTCTGCCTAATATTCGTATGTTTCGGATATAATCACTAAACCACGGAAATAATTCAGGTTGTATAAATAATCGATTAACGTCCTTTTCGACCCCGGGCGAACTCAGATTTTATTCTCAGTTCAATCATATCAACCCCTATATATGTGATACGCATTTATTCCCTATATAAATCTTGATTATTAGATGGGTGAATCATTTTTCGAAGTTATCGGTTGTGTAATTTCGGCTGTAAATCCGATTTTATTGCTGTGAAATTCCAATTTAAGTAAAGCGATATCAAATGATGAGTCACATCATTCCACCGCGTCTTTGTAGATAAGTATTTCAAGCCACAGTCATAAGTACAGTTCATAGCTTTGTAATCACATGTACGTAATTTGTGGAGTGTATTTTATCACATTTTCGAGGAATTATAAAATTGCACATTGAATATGAAGTAAGATAGTGAAAGATGCTGTCACAATTCATTAATGGGGAATTACTGAAGTTCAACACACGACGTAGCTGAACATTCACTTGAGATTGTGGGTGGTTTTGATCATGAGAGTTCTGATGTTTTAAATGTGTTCAGCTGTGAACAGATTAAAAATTTTTAGCCACAAACAATTAAATGATTTTCCTTCAGATTATGAGACTAAAATATCGATGACGAACAACGGAAACCATATTGGAGACCTCACATACTCCGTTGACTAAGGAATGCTAAGGCAGTGTTTATCATAGAAGGACACATAAGAAGTGCATAAACTGAGTACTGCTGGTGGGGCCAGAGCTTGCAGAAAAGTCCTGTGTGTTATTAATCAGACAGTAGCCACCCTACCCCATTGTTTTGCGCCAATGTCATCATGCTTCTGGTCAGCACCAACTCGCACCACTGTTGTCCACGATGGGCTTCTTAATATTCATTCTCTGGAACTCAATCCTGGACCCAGTCTAAGCACATTGTGAATAGCTAACGTAGTTGCTTTAACTTCCACTGCAGCAAAAAATATCAAACCGATTTTATTCAAGGTTAGTAGTCAGTTTATAAAAAAGTATAGATGAGCACTGGTTGCACTTGCATGACATGAAAATGGTGGATAAAGTTACGACTTCAAAGACCACCTGGTTTATAATCATTGGTTTTCTACAGGCTTCTCATAACTCTATTAGGCACGTCACTCTGCTACGCGAAATCACGAGTTTGCTAAGCGTAAATTCTTGCGTCAGGAGATTGTGCGAAGTCTACCTAAAGACCGATAAGCATAATGTTTGGGGCGTATTGTTAAGCTAGACGCAGAAGCTGCATCTGATAACTTTTGTAAGCTATTTCAACTCATACAAGCCACTCGAAGCACAAAGTGTTATTGAAAAAAATTATGAGTTCAGTAGGACGCCAGCTAGTAACGTTAAGGGGCGTCTAGAAGAAATTGGCGGGGGGGGGCAAGAAGCAGGTCAACTGGTCTGTCCCCCCAGCAATATCGATCACCCGACCGAAGCTGCTACCTTGACGTGGTGGTCGGGCTTGCCTATCGTGATGACCCAACCGAGCTATACTGGCTGGAACACATGTTCCTGCAGGTCCTACCATGCCAGGCAGGTCGATTGGAGAACGATGAGACTAAAAGCAGCTACCCAAGGTCTGAGGGCGAAGTCGTACTGCTGACTGCAGAGGGGTGTGACAGCAGTAAGGTGTTTCCCTCGGACAACCAGCATCTGCAGCGATGCTGCCTTCTCACAAGGAAGGAAGGGTTAGAAAAGGTCGGCCCTAAAAATGTCACACCTCCCCTACCTCACGGATTTCCGTCTCCTTGGGTAAGGGTGCCCACTAAGGGCCTTTAAGAACGGAGCTAATCCTCTAAATACCTCTCATAAAAAGGCCGTGCGTGACCGGCCTCAAGCAGTTGTCCCTTGGACTCTGCGGTCACGCACCAACACTAATCCATCTTCCTTTTCAGGTTCGTCAAGAAACAACCTTCCACGGTGTGGGCAGCCGGGAAGTGATAACCGCCCTCATACCCGCAACAGCACACGAGACAAAATTGTTCAAAATCAAATCCTTCCTACATTCCCTAATACCTCTCTTATCTCCACAACTAACTCTTCTCACATTCATTTATTACAGTGCACAGCTAATGCAAACGATGCGAGTTTGCGAAACGTCGTTCCTGGTCTCCTTAAACCCCGTTCCAAACTACATGTTGGAGCATTCAATGTACGGACATTGTGTCAAATAGGGCAACAGGCGTCATTAGCTAGGACTTTAGAATCTCGTTCCATCGATGTGTGCTGCGTCTCGGAAACGCGCATACAGGATCCGAGTAGCATCACTCATTTGACCTCACCATGTCAAGATAAAGAAGCAGCTCGATTTACCCTTGGTGTATCCGGTAGCCCTGATGCTGCTTCTAGGGGCCTCGCCGGTGTAGGTATAGCATTGAGTCGTAGGGCAGAACAGTCTCTCCTTGACTGGATCCCTGTAGATAGTCGCTTGTGCGCCGTCCGACTCAACGGGACAGTAAGGACTCGGAAAGATAGGGACACTCACCGTTGCCTCTTCGTCATATCAGCCTACGCCCCCACTGACTGCAGCCCAGATGATGTAAAAGATGAGTTTTACAGAAAGCTTTCGGACCTCCTCCAAAAAGTTAAGCGCTCTGATATAGTAATAATGGCTGGTGACTTCAATGCACAAGTAGGTAGACTAAGTGAAAATGAAAGACACCTAGGTGGATGTTACGGTCTCGCGGCTCAAAGAACAGACAATGGCGACCGTCTGTTGCAACTGTGCTCAGATAACCGACTATTTCTAGCAAACACTAATTTTAAGCATAAGGAAAAACACCTTTTGACCTGGCGACCCCCGAAGTCGTCTCAACGTTGGACACAACTAGATCATATCGCCATCAGCCACCGATGGAGGGGTTCGATAGAGGACTGTCGCTCGTTCTGGGGCACATGTTTAGATTCAGATCATGCCCTAGTGCGAGCACGTATTTGTTTGAGGCTTGCTGGACGTAGGAAAGACACCGTAAGGAAGCCTCTTAGGGCTTTACTTGATGATAATTAAGCTAAGAAAATATTTCAGGAGGAACTAGAAAAACAGTTGGGCGATCATGCAAGTGATTCCCATCCGGAGTCAGGTTGGAATGATATAAAGAAGGCTGTGGAAACAGCAGTGATATCTGCTAGCAACGTAAACCATAAGGCTAGGATGAAGCCGTGGATTTCAGTCGCATCCACCGAACTGATGGATGCACGAAAACGCATCCCACCTGACTCTGAACATGATGAAGAGCGTACTCAACTTAGGCGCAGACTTATAAAACGCCTACGTAACGACCGTGAACAGTGGTGGGTGGCGAAAGCAAAAGCGATGGAAAAGGCAGCGGTGATAGGCAACACTAGACAACTTTTCCGCCTTATCAAAGAAACCGGTATTAGGAACCCGAATGTGAGTGAGACTATTTCGGAAAAGGATGGTCTTATTATCCATTCTCAATCTAGGAGGCTGGACCGATGGGCAGAACACTTTAGGGATCAGTTCAACTGGCCTTCAGCCACTCTTCGGTTGCCCACGATCTCCAGTCATCCTGAATGACAAATCGATGTAAGTCCTCCCAGTTTACGTGAAGTTGAGAAAGCTATAGGAAATCTAAGAGGAGGTAGAGCGGCAGGTCCCGATAGGCTTACCCCCGAGATGGTTAAGGATGGTGGTCCAGTTTTAACAGTTAGACTGACCGAGATACTAGGTAGTATCTGGGAACTGGACGTAATCCCATCTGACTGGTCTCAGTCGCTAATTATCCCAATCTACAAGAAAGGACAGAAGTCCTCTTGTGACAATCACAGGGGAATAAGTTTAACTAATATAGTTTCTAAATTGTTAGCCTCGATTTTACTTAGACGTCTAACTAGAGCTCGTGAAGAGCAGACTCGAGAAAACCAGTCTGGTTTTCGACCTGGACATGGTTGTATAGACCACATCTTCACACTACGACGGGTCCTTGAACACAGACACACGTTTAGACGTCCGACAATAGTCGTGTTCCTGGACCTAAAAGCGGCATTTGACTCAGTGGATCGTGATGTTCTGTGGCAGTGTCTGTCATTGAAAGGTGTACCAGAGAAGTACATTAACCTTATACAAGCACTCTACTCAAATACCACTGGTCGAGTGTGAGCTTATGGTGAACTGTCACCGGAATTCTTTACTTCAAGTGGTGTCCGTCAAGGATGTCCACTCTCTCCATTCTTGTTTAACTTTGTCGTAGACATCCTCTTAGAGTTAACATTTAGCTCGTCAGATTTTTCAGGGAATGACCTTCTACCGGGAAAGTCGCTTGCTGATCTAGAATATGCCGATGACATAGTTCTATTCGGTGAAGACGCTGACAAAATGCAGAGTCTTCTGACTACCATAAGCAACAATGCGAGCATGTTCGGGTTGCGGTTTTCCCCCTCGAAATGCAAAATTTCGCTTCAAGACTGGGTTGCATTGGCACCTGAACTAGTGATAGGGAGTGAAGTAGTCGAGCGTGTTGATCACTTCGCTTATCTGGGGAGTCTCATCAGTGCTGATGGCCTGGTGACTGACGAAATCTCAGCTCGGATACAGACGGCTCGATTGGTTTTTGCCAACCTGCGTCACTTATGGCGTAGGCGTTATATCCGTTCTCTAACCAAAGTGCGGGTGTACTGCGCATCAGTTCGTTCCGTTCTCTTATATGGCTGCAAAAAGTGGCCGTTAAGAGATGTTCGTAGGTTACTAGTATTCGATCATAGATGTTTAAGAAGCATTGCTGGTATATCGTGGGACAACCGAGTAAGCAATGCTGTCGTTAGGAAACGAGTACTAGGTAAGGATGGCAGATCAATCGATGAAGTGGTGAAACTTCATCAGTTGAGGTGGTTGGGACATGTGTTACGTATGCCTAACCACCGACTGCCTCGACGAGCTATGTTTTGTGGTGTAGGAGTAGGTTGGAAGAAAGCTAGGGGCGGCCAGACCAAAACATGGCAGAAATCCATGAAGTCACTGACAAGTGGACTGAGTCATGTTGGTAGATGTAGACTACCTGGTTGGGGTCCGCGAGACGAAAGTCATCAATGGTTAGAGACCTTGAACGACATGGCTCAAAATCGTTTGCAATGGCGCAGGTGCATCCACTCTTTGAGCTCTGTCAAATCCTAATCTTCTGGATTAGCCAGCACCTCTACCTTTGTCTTTCTAACCTTATCTCACTGAATTATATTTTTTTGAATAATATCTTAAACCCTAGTCTTCTTTATTATAACATTAATACCTCTACCATCTTTATCACTATGGGATTTGATTTGACATTTGCGTTTCTGTGCTAATAATGTGGTATGGCAACATGAACTTATGTACATACGTACGAAGTTCTACGTTGCAACTGACTGACTGACTGACAATATCGATCAAGCAGTTCTTTCCTCCCTCGACCATAATTGCTAGCTTAACATGGTTGTCGGGATCGTCTATCGTGATGAATCAATAAAACCATATCTGCTAAACTACTTATCCCTTCAAGTCTTGCTATATCAGATATTAGTCATGTAACGGCAAGACCAAAGGGAGTAACTTAAGATGCAAGAGCGTAGTCGTACTGTTCACCGTACACGAGTGTTGTATCAATAGTTTTTCCCTCATGTAAACAACATCGGCAGCAATGCCGCTTCCTCAAAACAGAAGGAAAGGTCAGAAAATTTCTGTTGTAAAGATGTCATAACTCACCTTACCCTCCAGATTTTCGTCTCTGACAGTTAAGCCCTTTAAAGCACGAAGCTAACACATCAAAAATTCTTAGGAAAGCTATGTGTTACTAGCTTAAAGCTGCTGTCTCCTGAACTGCGACCACGCCTTTAAATGTATATGACTACTTCTAATAGTTTCTTTGTTAGGTCCTTCAAGAAGAAATATCGTTCGTCAATGTGAGCTTCCAGCAAGTCGGAATCTCACTTCGGACTTCTGAGAGCATGCTATATCACCTAGTTTACGATCAAAGATAAATTTTATGGGAAGCTTTTCAACCTCTTTTAAAAGGTTAAACGTTCAGACTCAATAATATTGGCAGGTAATTTTCATACCTAAGTATGTAGTTTAAACCATAATGAAATGTAGTTAGGTTGATCTTAAAATGTGACTGAGCAAAAAGGCGGTGATTGCTGAAACTGTGCACCTAAAAACGTCTATTTCTAAGGAAAGGAAAACGAAAAAATGTCTTATACGGCGAGCACCTACAATCGACTCAACGATAAACTCAGGTACATCACTGTTATCAGCTATTTTTGAGGAGATTGATAGAAGACTGCCGCTCATTCTAGGACATTCAAACTGCAACCATGCTCTAGTACGAGCATGTATGCTTGCATCTTACTGAATATAGAAAGGCCATATCAAGAAGACTCCTTATTGTTCAAATTACTGATGAGAAAGTCAGACGTTTCAGGAACAACTAGGAAAAGTCAGTCACCCATGAAAGTGATATCCACTCCAAAGTATCTCAAAATGATGTTCGAATAGATGTGGAAGCGCCAGTGATATTTACAGTAATATAAATCAAATGGTTAGGCAAGACTAATAAAGTTCCGAATTTATAAGTCGATGTTAGACAGATTATCTGTGGTTGAATGCTGTGTTTTGATTTGAAGATTGCTGTAGTGTGGGTGGATTCGTTAATTATGTTCTTTAAATTCGCAAATAGTATTTCATACAACTGACTAATTGATTTCACTCTTTCATTTTTTACCACTTTTGTAATCTTGACACCTTACTGTTATTGGCATCATTCCTCTCTACTTTTTTTGCTCATCCCCTCTCGTTCATGTGGTATGTCGTATTTCAACCTGGATTTATGCATCTTTTTTATTATACCCGAAGTTTTAGTCAATCTGTATCTACTGAATATGCATGTATCTATTCAAACATATATAAGCACGACTGATTAAATTACAGGATCCTACCAAATGTTTATCTTATATTTACTTCGTTAGATGCAATTCCTAACCATAACAGTCCATTTTTCTTCTTATTCGTAAAGGGCGAGAGAAAAGGAACAAATAAATACTATCCTCCCGATTTTGATCCTAATCGTCACAAGAATCTCAACTCATACCATGGAACACATGCTCTTCGTCAACGTGGCAGAAAGGCAGACCAAGGCGTTATCACTATTAGATTTGAAATGCCTTTCAATTGCTGGTGTCTCACTTGTAAAAATCCTATCGGCATGGGTGTCAGATATAATGCAGAGAAGAAAAAAGTGGGGTCATACCACTCAACTCCTATCTACCAATTCTCTATGCCTTGTCATCTCTGTGCTGGTACAATTATAATGCAGACGGATCCGAAAAACTTCCAGTATATTATTCTGGAGGGTGCGAGGCGCAAGGTACAAAAGTGGGATCCGGAAGAAAATGAACAAGTCCTTATTGCAGGTAAGGCATGGGTTGTAAATTAGTGTGTTTTTGTTGTCACTTGGCTGTAGGCCGTAACGTCGGAGTAAAAAAGAACCTTGAAAACCAGCTATAACATTTCTTGAAGTGATTTCTAGTTGTGTGATTTAATATTTCAAGTATTTTTGTCGGTCATCGCCTTCCATGTTCGCTCACCTAACTTTCCTGTGATTAAAATTAAAATTACTTTTCAGTATTTTGAGAAGCGGCAAATAGATTATTCATTTTTATTTATTATTGTTTGCGTGTAGCGTAATTTTATGTCTATCTTTAAACGATCTAAGACGAATTTCGAGTTCGATAGGTCTGTCCTTTCTATGTATAATAACAAATAGTGGTTTTTATTCAGAAATGATGCTATCTCGACCTAGTTATTGCATAATATTTTACAGGGCCTATGCAGTGGTCTCATTATAAGCGGCCAATACTTCGAAAATATATGGTCAATAGAAAAATATCGTTCCTATTGTAGTACCTAATCAAACCCTTATCATACTATAATGAAGGCACGCATTTCTTTCTTACTGGACATAGAAAGATAAGAGCAGTCATAAAGTAGGATGGAGCGAAGTACTGCGCAGTACATGTCCTTTGGTTAGCATACGGAAATCTCATCTACGCCACAAGTAACGCAAGTAGGCAAAAGCCAGTCGATCCTTTTGCATCCGAGCTGGGGTTTTGTCAAACACCGGGCCGTCAGCACTGACGAGACTCCCGAATTAAAATAAGCGGTCGACACGCTCAACCACTTTACTGCCTATCACTAGACCAGGTGCCGATACAAGCCGATGCTGAAACAACATTTTGCATGTTGACTGGGAGAATCGCATGCCGAACATGCCTGCATTATTGCTCAAGGTGGTGAGAAGACTGCATTTTGTCAACGTCGTCACGAAGTAGAACTATGCCATCGTCATATTCTAAGTCAACCAGAGAGTCTCCTGGTAGAATGTCCACTCCTGAAAGTTCAGACGAAGATAATGTTATATCTAGAAGCATGTCTATAACAAAATTAAACAAGAATGGAGAAAGTGGACATCCCTGACAAACACCACTCGAAGTTATCAATTTCGATGACAGTTCGTCATAAGCTCTAACTCGACGAGTAGAGAGCATGTATAAGGTTAATACACGTCTTTGGTACACGTTTCAATGACAGTCACCTCACGATCGACAGACTTGAATGTCGCTTGGTCTACCATTCTTAATAATCTCAGAGGTGAATCTCCTCATCGATCTGCCCCTCACTTCGTAACGCAGTTGAGTCATTTCCGTAGTGTCTACCTACTTGAGCATTCAGGTCACCAGCCATTATTATTTTTATATCAAAGCGTCTAACTTTTTGGAAGAGGTCTGGAAGCTTTCTGTAAAACTCATCTTTTACCTCGTCTGAACTTCAGTCAGTGGTAGCATAGGCAGATATGACGAAGAGACAACGGTGAGTGTCTCTGTCTTTGCTAGTCCTTACTGTCCCGTTTAGTCGAACAGTGCATAAGCGACTTTCTATAGGGATTCAGTTGAAGAGAGCTAGTTCTGCCCTAGGATAATGCTACACCTACACCAGCAAGGCGACGGGAAGCAGCATCAGGGCTACCTGAAATAGAAAGCGTAAACCGTGTTGTTTCTCCATCTGCACAAGGTGAAATCTAATTAATGATTCTACTTAGATCCTGCAATCCTGCATGCGCGTTTCGGAGACGCAGCATACATCGATGGGTCCTAGCTTAGGAAGCCTGTTGTCCTATTCGTCACAAGGTTCGAACAATTGAAGCTTCAACATTTAGTTTGGAGCATGGTTTCTGGAGACCAGGAATTATGTTTTGTGAGTTCAAAACGTTTCCATTGGCGGCGCGAGGTGGCAAAGGTAAGTTAGATTAGTTTTGGTTTCAGAGACCTAGGAGCGTGACCGAAGAGCCTAAGGAACAACTGCTCTAGGCCGGTCACGCACGACCTTTTTGTTTGATGTTTCAAAAGTGTTAGCCCCGCTCTTCTAATGGCTTTACCACTGGAGACGGAAACCCGTTGGAGCCGACCTTTTCTAACCCCTCCTGCCCTATGAGAAGGCTGTATCACTGCATATGCTGGTTTTCTGAGGGAAACACCTTACTGCTGTCACGCCCATGTACAGTCAGCAGTACGACTTCTGCCCTCAGACCTCGAGTTGCTGCTTTAGGTCTCACCGTTCTTCAGTCGACCTGCGCGGCTTAGTAGAACCTGCAGAAACATTTGTTCCAGCCAATATCACCTGGTCAGGTCCTGACAATTGACAAGCCTGGACAACAAATCAAGGTAGCAGCTAAGGTCAGGAGGTAGGAGTTGCAAAATGTAAGGTTATTATTATTATTATTTAGAAAGCGGTTAATAGGACTGCCCTTGTGGGTGTTACGTGGACGTGTTCATTTTAGAGTATTTCAAAACTGGGTGCGGATTCTCCCCATTCTCAACCCTACCATTTGATTCGGGAAATAGTGCTTGTTAACTAATAGTTTTTGTTGTCAAAGCAATCATCAGTAATTCATTTATACCTTTCATGGTGTGGGCAGCCGGGAAGTGACAACCGCCCTCATACCCGTAACAGCACGAGAGACCAATCTGGTTGAAATCAAATCCTTCCTACACCCACACATACCTCTCTTCTCTCCACAATTAACTCTACTCACATCCCCTTATCTGACTGCACCGCTAATGCAAACGATGCGAGTTCACGAAACGTCATTCCTGGTCTCTTGAAACCTCGTTCTAGTCTACATGTTGGAGCATTCAATGTACGGACATTGTGTCAAATAGGGCAACAGGCATCATTAGCTAGTACTTTAGAATCTCGTGCCGTCGATGTATGCTGCGTCTCGGAAACGCGCATACAGGATCCTAGTAAAATTATTAATCTGATTTCACCTTGTCAAAATAAAGAAGCAGCTCGATTTACTCTTCGTGTATCCGGTAGCCCTGATGCTGCTTCCAGTGGTCTTGCTGGCGTAGGCATAGCATTGAGTTGTAGAGCTGAACAATCTCTCCTTAACTGGATCCCAATAGATAGTCTCTTGTGCGCTGTCCGACTAAACGGGACAGTAAGGACTCGAAAAGATAGGGACAATCGCCGTTGCCTCTTCATCGTATCTGCCTATGCCCCCACTGAATGCAGTTCAGACGAGGTTAAGGATGAGTTTTACAGAAAGCTTTCGGACCTCCTCCAAAAAGCTAGGCGCTCTGATATAGTAATAATGGCTGGTGACTTTAATGCTCAAGTAGGTAGACTAAGTGAAAATGAAAGACACCTAGGTGGATGTTATGGTGTAGCGGCTCAGAGAACAGACAATGGTGACCGTCTGTTGCAACGATGCTCAGATAACCGCCTATTCTTAGCAAACACTAACCTTAGACATAAGGAAAAGCATCTGTTGACCTGGCGACCCCCGAAGTCGCCTCAACGTTGGACTCAACTAGATCATATCTACATCAGCCACCGATGGAGGGGTTCGCTCGTTCTGGGGCACATGTTTGGATTCAGATCATGCCTTAGTGCGAGCGCGTATTTGTTTGAGGCTTACTGGGCGTGGGAAAGACACCGTAAGAAAGCCTCTTAGGGTTTTACTTAATGATAATATAATATAATTATATAATATAATATAATAATAATAATATAATATATTTCAGGAACAACTAGAAAGACAGTTAGGCGACCACTTAAGCGAACATAGACACACATTTAGGCGTCCTACAATAGTTGTTTTCTTGGACCTAAAAGCAGCATTTGACTCTGATGATCGTGAGGTTCTGTGGCAGTGTCTGTCATTGAAAGGTTTATCAAAGAACTATATTAACTTTATACAAGCTCTCTACTCGAACACCACTGGTCGAGTGAGAGCTTATGGCGAACTGTCAACGGAATTCTTTACTTCAAGCGGTGTCCGTCAGGGATGTCCACTTTCTCCATTCTTGTTTAATTTTATCATAGACATGCTCCTAGAAATAACCTTATCCTCGTCCGACTTTCCAGTAGTAGACCTTTTACCAGGTGGCTCGCTTATTGACATGCTGATGACATTGTCCTACATGGTGAAGACGCTGACAAAATACAGAGTCTTCTGACCCCACCCTAAGCAACAATGCTAGCATGTTCGGGATGCGGTTTTCCCCCTCGAAGTGCAAAATGTTGCTTCAAGATTGGGTTTCATCGGCACTTGAACTAGTGATAGGGAGTGAAGTAGTCGAACGTGTAGACCGCTTCACTTATCTTGGGAGTCTCATCAGTGCTGATGGCCTGGTGACTGACGAAATCTCAGCACGGATACAGAAGGCTCGATTAGCTTTTGCCAACCTGCGTCACTTATGGCGTAGGCGAGATATCCGTTTGCTGACTAAAGGACGAGTGTACTGCGCAGTAGTTCGCTCCGTCTTACTTTATGGCTGAGAAACATGGCCAGTGAGAGTAGAAGATATTCGTAGGTTACTGGTTTTCGATCATAGGTGTCTTCGAAGCATTTCTCGTATATCGTGGGACACCCGAGTGAGCAACGCTGTTATTAGGAATCGGGTGCTAGGTCAGAATGGCAGATCAATAGACACAGTAGTGACACTTCATCAGTTGAGGTGGTTGGGACATGTGTTGCGTATGCCCAACCACCGACTGCCTCGTCGAGCTTTGTTTTGTAGTGTAGGAATAGGGTGGAAGAAAGTTAGGTGCGGCCAAACCAAAACATGGCAGAAATCCATGAAGTCATTGACGGGTGGACTTAACCATGTCGGTAATTGTCGACTACCAGGTTGGGGTCCGCGAGATGATAATAATCGATGGTTAGAGACCTTGAATGACATGGATCAAAATCGTTCGCAATGGCGCCAGTGCATTTATGCTTTGTGTTCCCTCAAATCCTAATCTTCTGGGTTCTTCAACAACTCTAGTTTTGACTTTCTAAATTTTTCTCATTAACTCATACTTCTTGAATAGTATCTTCTAATCCTAACCTCTCCGATTACTCCTAATACCTTTACTACCTCTTCTACTATTGGACTTGAATTGACAATTACATCTCTGTGCTGATGTGGTATGGCGACATGAACTGATGTACTTACGTACGAAGTTCTACGTTGCATCTGACTGACTGACCGACATTTATATTTCTTTTGTAATATACAGATCACTCTGAGAAGAAGCAGCTTGCCACAGATGCGATGTATCACTTGGAACACAATGTGTCTGACAAGAGGAAAGCGAATGAAATAATACCAGCAATAGAAGAAATCCAGATTAATCGTTTGGTTCATGAAGATGACTTTACTTTGAATCAGATGGCTCGTAAAAAGTTTCGTGTATGTTTTGCTTTATTCTTTTTAATGTGTTTTGTGTTGTCGTTTTACCTTTAATTATTGTGACCGTATACTGATCTGTCAATTTTCATAGGCCGATTGTACAAACTCAGAACTCAGTAACAAAATATCAACCATATAATATTAAAATCGTAGTGCATTTATTTATACCTATTTACATTAGTAACGAACAAGCTGCTAGGTTGTCTTCCTGTTTTCGAAATCCCGATTTATGATAATTGTATTCCATTTGTTCTTTATCAGTTTTATCTGTGTTTTGTTTGTCATAAGCGAAACGAAATCGAAATTCCAAATTACTTTTATTCGGTGAGTTTTTCTTTAGTTGCCTACAATCCACCAGCGTTTCTTACTTTAGGAAACTAAGAAGCAATCTGAAGAAAAATTGGTCAGAGATAACTCGCTCTTAGATCGCTTATCGTTAACTGGGTCTCAGGTTGAACTTCTTCCAGAAACTGAAGATGACTCAACCATGGCAAAAGTTATATTGCTCACACATTCTAAACGTAGTAAGTCTTTTTTATACAGATCATATAAATCATTTATAAATTCCCCATATAATTTAGGTATGGTGTTTATTCGCTACATACTATTGACAGATGTGGTTGGAACAGTGATAATAATAATAATAATAATAATACAAATCGTTAACCTGTTACAGTAGAATAAACTTGTTTATTTCAGTATGGTTTATGCAGTTGATTGTCTGAACTGATATGCATGGTGTATTTACGTGACTGTTATTCGCAAATCCTAAGTATTGGTGTAGAGACTTTGATGAACGGATTTTAGATGACAGAACAAAATTATCAGCAAATTTGAACTGTTTTGGATTCTAGAATTACACCCGTATATACAGAATTTCTAGTGCAAAATCAAGCGAAGCACATTAATTACATCAATAATTGTAGGATTCATATTTTGTGGATCATTCACGAAATTAATAAATAATTATCAGACTTACTGATCGTTATATCATAACCATTTACACCTTTACTAATGCTAAATGGTTGCCTGAACCGAAGTGGTTTAGAGACGGATTTTAAGCATCAGCTGAGTTTTTGGAATTCGGACTGTAAAACCAGCAACTTACCTGACCATTTCTTCTCTTCTCACGTTGCCTGTAAAATAAGAATGTTATTTCTAAACGAAGAACGACACAAAACGAAGTAAAAATGGGAAAGATATGGGCGCAGAATAAAACCTGAAGTGTTACAAAATGTGTTCGTAGTAAGTGCACTAAATTTTGCCTATTCAACTCATTTTTACATAAATGGATGTGAATATTCCCACAAACTATACGACTAATGCTTCCATTTAATGAATTCAAAAATTTACTGTCGTTCGATGCAGCAGTATTTAAATCACTGCTTATTTTTCTTACGTTGTTTTATAATTATCTGATGGTAAATTTAGCTTCTAAACTTCCTAACATTTAGCTGATCACATCACAATCTGTAGAAAATCTTTTGTTATTGCAAGTATTTTTATCGGTAGCAGTTAGCCACCGGTCGACCGGAATCCTGTTTTTCTCTTACCTTTTGGCTAATGTAAATCAATATTCAGTACAAAGCGATCACTTGGAAATCAGGAAGCACCAGATGTTTATTTTATTCTTGTTAAGAAATCCTCAGCAATCCGCGCTCGGGGCTTCCAAGTATCGAATCTAATAGTTATAGATCACTTCCCAAGATCGACCACAGACTATGCATATGAACAAGTTGTGCTTTATTCCAATGTTTTGTGGGCATATAAAAAGGCTCTTACTAAGATCAGTTCTATTGTCGCACTTCCCGAGCTGGTCGAGTATGGTTAAAGTATGTGGTTGTGTACAGCTTTTTGTACTAAGATTATCTAAACCGTAGATATGTGGTACAGTCTTTACTCAATGCTACAATGGTCCGTTGTATACCGGGTTCTAAACGTAGGTTGTTATCTGTGTATGTATGAAATTTCATTTTTTCACACAAGTCATGGGAGTGATTATGAAATTCGCCTACTTTCTAGAATAATTGCGGTTTGTTTCACTCATAATAATCCCCAACTTAACAATTATTTAGTGTATGATCATTTGAGGCTTATTTCGTTCTAACCTACAGATATGACTTCAAATCCTTTGAATCCTATGTCCCTGATTCGTAATAGAAACTCACATGTGCCAGCCTGGAAGGCCAAACATTCATCAAAGGCTGCTAATGTCAAACAGTCATCTATATCAACGCTGAATAAAACTCGACGGATATCAACGGATTCGGATATCCGTCGTCCTTGCAAAAGTACAAAACTAGTTGTTAAGTATGGAGACTCCGGAATTAAACAAAATGGATCTTTTCCAACTAGCAGTCGTTTTTGTAATCACATGACTGACAGTCCAGTCGAACTTGTGACCTATGAAAGCAGCGATGACTCCCGCAGCAATATTGACGTTTAATCCTGCACGTTTGGTCAAGTAAAGGAAAGCTCGTTTTATACATCCTTTGTGTGAGATGGATAGGTTGGAGTTATGAATTGAATACTTGATCTTGAATTTGCGGAAGAAGAGTACGTTTGATATGGATTCACACTCTCCACGTTGGTACTTTTGAACTATTCATTCAAAGAATTTTTGTACCTTATTTCAATAAAATACTCATTTATTTTTACGTTTTGGTTCTGTATTGTGTGGAAATTCCCATTTTGATTGTATGTTGCTTACAATCACTTTGACACCGTGAAGAAACACTAATTGTAGAGGAAAATTAAACCTTTTTTATATCCAAGAAATAGTTACTATATCCTACCGAATTAGCATATTCTTTGAAAAGCAGTAGAAGCAAAGGCATGTTGTTCCGTTTGTGTAAAAATGGTTTAAGACCAAGGTTTTAAGATAAAAGTGACTGAGATATAACGGTTAAATGTTTTATTTCAGTCAGTCAGTCAGTCAACAACAACATCGAACTTCGTACGTACGTATTCCTCATCATCTGTATGTTTCTGTTTCTAAATTTATCTCACTGAATTATACTTCTTGAATATTATCTTCAAATCCTAATCTCCATTAGCAGTAATTCTTCTACTATCTCTACCATTATGGGATTTAAATTGACAGTTGCCTCTCTGTGTTAATGTGGTATCGCAACATGAACTGAAGTACTTACGTACGAAGCTCTACGTTCACTGACTGTACGTAAGTATATAAGTTTAGGTTGCCATGACACACTAGCACAAAGATGTGATTGTCATTTCAAATCCCATACTAGTAGAGGTAGTGGAAGTATTAGCAGTAATCTGAAACGTTAGGGTTTGAAGATATTATTCGAGAATTCTTAAGTCCTTTCTTATAGACTGGAACAGTCAGTGAATGAGACCATTCGCATGGGAATATGTCCACTTCACAGATTCTCCCTAAGATCTCAATCAATGTGACCGCTAAAACTGGTCTAACATTCTTAATAATCTCAGAGGTCAATCTCTCATTGATCTGCCCCTCATTTCGTTTTAGATGTGCTTATTGCAAGAGAACCCTGGCGCAATTCCACTGGCCTTCAGCCCTGCTTTGGTAACTAGCCATCTCCAGACACATGCATGGCAAGTCGGTGTAAGTCCTCCGACTCTTTATGAAGTTGTGGAACCTGTAGAAGCGGCGTTTCATTGTGTGCTGATAGACAATCACTTGATTGCGAATCTGAGCAGAAAAAACTGATTATTCATGGTTACTACCTAGATTTGTTAGAAAGTTCAGTTGGTTTTACTTTTCCCAATTATAAGATTTCACGTAACCTTCCTATTTCAGTGTATGATTTTTAACACCTAGTTGTGTCACTGAGTAGTCTTCGCGGCTAATTTTTTAGTCACATTTCCAAACACACTTTGTACATGTTCATTTATTAAGCGCGTTTTTGTCTTTTATTACCATTACATTTTTCCAGTTGCACCGCTTGTATGACAGATTCAAATATTTTGAAGCGTGTTTGGGAGGGTAAAGTTCCTGCCTGCTTTACGTTGGCACAAGAGGATTTAGCACATGAAGATCATGCTCCTCCACCTGTTTATGTGAGTTTATAAAATGTTATTTTGCAGACTAACTTGTTATTTGTAAACGGCAAAGCAGATTTTAACCTGAATCTCATAAAAATAACTCTAGGAAACAATCTTTGTGAATTTTTTCGTTCCAAGGTAGCTTACAATAAGTACATCAAATAAATGTCTCAAATAAATCAGACTATTTTATCAGGAAAACTCAACTTCTTGATACGATTAGTAAACTTGCTTCAGTAAGTAAATATTTGGGTCATATATTTCCAGTGGTTGCTTCTCTATATTGGCGGCAGAATTTTTCGGAACTGTTCTGAACAAACTGTAATCAAAAATCTAAGATTAGCTCTTTATAATCTCTATGGTAAGTTGTGTTTTTTATGTCTTTCTATTTTGAGTTTGATCGCATTCCATATACGTATACAGTGATCAGCGTTCAGTATTGTTGGGGACCTAGGGTTTATTAAGAACATCTCTTATTAGTTGTTACTGACTTTAGATAATTTATTTACTTACAAATTTTATAAATTAGTGTATTGGGGTGGTTGCCAGCTCTCAACTAACTTTTTAGTACATTGCAGCTAGGTTTCAGTAAACATAATTTACCTCAATGTTTATATCTTAAAATAATTTTCCTCCCATAGATGTTCCTTCCTCGCGTTTCTTATTTTCCATTGGTTACTGAAAAAGTTATAAGACAATTCAGTCAGTTCTCTGAAAGTGCACTCAAGGCTCCATCCGAAGATATAACCTCTGAAGCACGGAATAAATCGGAACATGAAATGCAATATATGTCATCCGATCGGATCGATACTTTCAAACATCCTTCAATACACGAATTTTGGCTTGAATATGCTCATCAACCCTTAAAATGGTATGAAATATTGTTGAAAATATTTGCCGTCTTATTTGCTATTAGCTGAATCACTGATTTTCTATTTGACTTATGAATGATCTTAACTGAGTGCATCAGAGGTATTAAAACTGCAGGTAACTGATGCACAATTTCCGACTGTCCTTAAGTAAACCAATTACATTCTTGTTAAGACGTAGAATTTTGTAGCATTTCAACAATCTAGGAAAGTTTATGCTATAACAGGGTTTTGGGGATTTTTTTGTCTTCGGTATTATCACAATAACGTGAGACCGATCTGGGTGATCGACTTTATACTTTTACTGGATCGGATACTTGGACGGCATACTACACAAAGACCAGATCACGTTATCTAAGGTACCCGGTTCACGACCGAATAGAGGACCAAAGTATGCAATAGACAATATTTTCATCCACACAACTACAGACAGTCACTCTCACTGAGTTCGGAGTAGAAATCAACAGGAGAAAATGAAAGCACTCTGTAGCCTATATAGGTTTGTCCACGCTTACTGACCAAACATATTTCCCTTTCCGCACCGCACATCAGTTTAACTCCAAACCAGTTTTGGTTCTAAATGTGACTAGAGAGGTTGGATCCATGACCTAAAAATGTTTTGACAAAATTTACTCTAAAATTATATTTCAGAGACAATTTGTCTGGAGTTTATGCAAATATGCTTTTTTCTTTTGAATGATCCTTATTACTCGTGTCGTTTTCGGAGCACATGTTTTTTTGATGGAAATAAGTGACAGTTATGGATTACTCCAAAGAGAATTTTCGCAACTACTGATGAGAATTTAATGAGTAGCATTAATAAACATCCTTGAAATTCTGTATCAAGTACCATCGTAACTCAGTCGGTCTTCTAAGATAATCTAGATTCAGTCTGTAGTAAAACATTGTGGAGTAATAAAATTTACCCATCCCAATATTAGGCATTTAGTTCACCGTTTTAATCTTCGTCATTTCATTATGTATTACATATTCTATGGTCATACTGATCTAAAAAGGTTCGAATCGTCAATAAACGGAGAAATCAAACTGAAAGGATTAATACCATGTTCGCTTCCGAATGTAGACTCTAATAAATCATCAAAAGTGCCCCAAAATGTTAATCTGAAACATAAAAATAAATCTAGAAATCTCTCAAAACGTGCAAGTTTTGCATGGCAAACGAAAACCAATGTCTTTCGGTGTCCGTCATAGCGCGAATCAGTGGTCGAAATTCTTCCATAATATGGAAAAGATTCCTGTAGCCATGTATTATTTCATATACTTCACCTGTATACCACCTTAATATCAACTGTATTATCCATCACTATTATCAACTGTATGATCACACAATATTTTTCTGATTACTTAATGTTTTGCCAGTGATGTTCTTAATATCACATAGCATAGTAAAGATTCAAAGTCAACCCTCCTTTAAGTATTCTACATTGTATGGCTTTGGTATTAAACTAGATTGTGTACACGTAACAAGTTAAATACAAATATACAATGACCATAAAATAATAGTACTGTCTTCATGCGTCTTCAGATTTATCTAAATGATTTCCTTTCTCCAAACTTTTCCTATTTTCCAGGCACTATCCAATCGGACTTGTATTTGATATGTGTGCAGATACAATGGACATTCCATGGAGGATAACAGTTCATTTTAGTGTATGTAGCCGATATACATCTTTTATTTATACAACCTGATCACTTCTATAATTTAATTGTAATTTTACACTACTGCAAAATATTGTTGGTTGGCAAACCGTTAGAATTGATCACAATAATATTACTGTATCTTAAGAAACCAAAAATCACTTAGTAATTGGGTGTAGATAGTTGGCATTTCTATACTTAAACATATGTCATTGTAAAGTGTACATTTTGTTTATCTAAGTAATTTGGTGTTATTTAGGTATAAAAATAATGTAATTGCAAATCAAAAATTTGTGGATTGGCAAGAACATAACTAATATTCTCCAACTTTTTATATGGATAATTTGTGTAATAATAGACATTAGTTCTTTTGTCTATTCACTAAACTTCGATGTGATTCATATTATCGTCGTTTAATATTTTAATTCTTACTTGCTATATTTCCTAACTTATGTACACATTAAATTGTAGATCAGTTACTTCGTTGAAGTCAACTTTTCAAAAATAAAAATTTCGACTTAAAAAAGAAGTTATTGAGTAATTTCATAGATCGTCTGTGGGAATAATAAGTTAAGCTTATAAACTATGAATGTTCGTGACAATATAAGTATAACAAGTTATCATGAAAATGATAACTACACTTATTTTAAAATTTTTAATTGGTCAGTTACGGAGAAGTTTGTAAAGCGTGTAAAATATTAGGTAATTGACTTAAGTAGGATAATTGTAAATACATTAAATCTAAAACCATTAAGGGTATGTAATGGGAATAATGATAAATAATCCTCCGTAAAAACGATTTTGTTTCATAAAATAATGACCATAAGAATTGAGAATATTTGTTTGAACAACAAGTAACGGAAATAAAAGAAGGATTAAGGTCATTAGAATAACAGAAATCAAACTACTAACTTCTTATATATATATAACTCTGGTTTAATCTAGTGCTTGTCCATATTGTTCTATGAATACTTAACTTAATCTTTTAGGTTATATCGAATGAATATTCCAAGGTTGATCGTGATTAGACCACTAAATTTTAGAAGTCTACACTGGGTTTCGATAGACAATACTCTAACGAAACAAAGAGCAGACCTTGCAAATTAAACTAATTAGTTGCCTCAATCCGAAGAAGCACTTAAGTTGCCCTGTTGTAATAATTTATACCTTATCCAAAAACAATACAATTTGTATGAAATTTTTTGAAAGTTGTTTTTCAGGTATGTATGCGGTAATATATATATATATATATATATATATATATATATATACATATATATATATATATATATATATATATATATATACTCTTATGGTTCATAAGCACTCTCTTCCGAGCTATGCACATTATTTTTGAAGTTTTGTGTCATAACTTTTCCACCAGAAATTTAGCTCATCATGTAAACGTCTTCGTGAACGACTTTTTATACCGAATGAATATACTTTCACTTCTTCACTATTAAGGTACACTTTTAAAGCTTATGACTTATTGGCTCATGTATATTTGTCATTCGCTGATCCTGTAAGCGTATCGCTATTTCATTCAGTGAGTCTAACATGTTACTATTGTACACAGAACTTAATAAAATTCTTCAGAGCTTTTATCATATTGAATCTGTCTTCACATGTTAAGTCGACTGTTATTATTTTCTGATTGCATTATTTTAGAATTATCCAACTGACGTTCTTTTATCTCCACCAGTAAGTCGACTAGCCGTTGAGGCGCATTTCATGTCGATGATTAAAGAAGCAGATGCTTTAAAGCATCGTAGCTACGTTATCAATCAAATGCAAGCTAGAGATCATCGTCAATTATGGAATGGCTTACTACATTTCCGATATGATCAGTTTTGGTCGATCAATAGCAAACTGATGGAACCTCTACCACAAAATACTAAAGGTAATATCCTTAGAATTTTCCATATTGCGACGCAGCAGCACCTTAGTTACACGCATCGGATTGCTTGCTGTACAATAAGTGATAGAATTAACTAGTATTCACTTCATTTTAAGCTGAATGTTTTAGTATCTAAAGCTACTTACATAACTTAATAGAAAATATTTTACTACTCCCCCTTTAAATGTACTTTCTCAACAAAGCGGTATCTAAGTGATTAAGGAATTCGATATTTCAGTCAATAAATCACGGGTTAGAACCTACAACCATTTCGATTTGCGCCCCTGAGTAATATCTCTAGCCCTTACACTTGGAGTGTGGTCCATACGCAAGTGCCTGTCGAATGAGTTAAATTCTGATTTAAGTAGTTTTCACTCCCAATTCTTCATATATCATATCATTTATTACACATCGTTTCTCTTGGTATTTCACCCTTTTATTCAAAATGGATATAGACAATATTGCTTATTAATTCGTTTTCTCTATAGTCCCTTCGCAGACTTCCAAGTCGAGGTGATTTGTGTTTTGTTATTTATGTTTTTCTTTTACATCTCAGTCAGGAACAACGTAGAACTTCGTACGTATGCACATCCGTACAAGTGGCCATGCCACATTAGCACAGAGACGCAATTACCATTCCAAACCCCATAGTAGTAGAGGTATCAGAAGTATTAGCAGTAATCGGAAAGATAAGGGTTTGAAGATACTATTCGAGAAGTAGAATCTACAGAGAGAACACAAGGAATGGATGCACCTGCTCCACTACAAACGGTTTTGAGCCATGTCATTCAAGGTCTCTAACCATCGATTACTATCATCTCGCGGGTTACCAACCAGGTAGTCCGCACCTACGAACATGACTCAATCCAGTTGTCAGTGACTTCATGGATTTGTGCCGTGTTTTGGTTTGGTGGCCTTGTGTATGTTAAGGCTGCTGCTACACTGGCAATCTTCATCCGGATTTGTTGTTGTGTGTGGGATAGACGAGATAAATCATCTGCGAAATCTCAATCCTCTAGGAATCTGAACTGTCCGCTGTATTCTGTGTTTCCTCTTAGATGTTAACGTCTTCATAATCCATTCAACCACCAGAAGAAAGAGAAAGGATGAGAGTGAGCAACCTTGTCTGACACCGGTCTTCACTTGGAATGAGTCTGTGCACTTTCCTCCATGGACGATTTCGCAATGTAGTCTGTCATAAGAATCCTGTATGATGTTGACTATCTTCCAAGGTACATCGTAGCGTCGGACACGTTTCCATAATGTCATCCTGTCCACACTGTCAAGTGCTTTCTTTCAGCAAAGGAAGTTGATGTATAGTGAAGAGTTCCATTCAATTGGTTGTTTCACACCGATCCATATTATCGCGATTTAGTCGTTACATGATCGATCCTTAGAAAGTCCGACCTATTGATCTCAAAATCGGGCGTCTACTGAATCATTCGTTTCAAAAACACTGTTGAAGACCTTTCTTGGTATTGATAGAGTTGTACCTCTGTAGTTCTCACACTTGTTGAAATATCCTTTCCTAGGTATTTCGATGTGGTATCTTTTATTTCAGTCTGTTGGTACTTGTTTTTATCCTCAAATCTTACTGAAGAGAACGCGGAGTATCTTTGCAATTATTGCAATGTCTGCTTCCAATGCCTCAACTGGTATGTTGTTTGGTCCTGCTGCTTTGCCAGTCTTGATTTATTGGATGGCCATGTTGATCTCTTCAATTGTTGGTGGGTCAAAATTAATTGGAATGTCTGTAGGTGCTGCTTCGATGTTGAGTAGGTTCAGTGGATCTGGTTTATTCAAAAGTTCTCCAAAGTGCTCTACCCACCTGTTTCACTGTTCTTGAAACTCGATAGTTGGTTTATCTATCTTTCTCTCGACCGATCGTTCTGGTTTGCGATATTGTCCAGCAAGCCCCTTCGTTGTTTCATGAATTTGTCTCATGTTTCCTTCTCTTGCAGCTTTTTATGCTATCATTGCAAGAGCTTCCACATATTTATGTTTGTTGGATTTGATGCTCCTCTTCACTTGCCTGATTGCTTCTATGTATTCGGCTTGTGTGTTGGCTTTCACGGCTATTTCTGATTGCTGTCTTTCCGTTCTTTCTTTCCTTATCCAGATTATGAGCATGCTGGAGTTATTGCTTCTTTGATCCCTTCGCAGTTGTTCCCCATGTTAGCTTCTTCTTCTTCACTTAGGTCGTGTAACGCCTAGTAGTTGTTGCTGAGAGCTATGCTGAGTTCACCAGTATCCCGAAGAAAGGCCTATTGAGCTTTTGTGATACTGTTCACCTAGTACAGTGCTTCTTTAGTTTCAGTTTCACCTTGACCATTACCAAGTGGTGATCGGAAGCCATGTCAGCTCCTTTCTTTTTATTGATGTAGATGTGATTGATTTGATTCTCTGTACTGTAATTCAGTTTTGTCCATTCCAACCTTTGCGTTTAGCTCTCCCATCATAATAGTCAAATCCTTTGCGGGGCAATTCTCGATTGACTCCAGCCTCTCATAGAACTGATCTTTATTGTCTTCATTGTTGTCGTTGTTGGGCGCATAGCACTAGATAACATTCAATATAGCCCCCTCTTTCTTTGTTTTTAAGATGCTTTGATGACCCTGGGTCCATGAGATTTCCATCCTATAAGTGCTTTTTTGGGCTCTTTGGATAGCGTTGGTCCAACTCCTTCATGGCCGGAGTACAACATCTCTCCTGAAGCTAATTTGTTTTGTCCAGTCTGCATTTAATAGGTTTCACTTACTCCAAGAACGATCAAGTTGTATTTTTCATTTCTGCAGCAACTTTCATAGTTCTTCCGTTCTCCCACATTGTGCGAATGTTCCATGTACCTGTAATAATTGTTGCTCTAGTTGCCTCCTGACTCCCGAAGAGACCTGGTCTGCACCATATGACTTTAAAACTCTTAGAAAAGAAGACCCTCCAACTCCCAGGGCAGAATTTGAATTATTTCTTCTTGTTAGCGTTTTTTAGCTAGGCTGTTTTCTATGGAATGGGACACTAACCTCATACCCAACCTCTCACTTTTATCCAGGCTCGGGACCGGCAATTATCCTAGATGAGCGCCACAGGCTAATTCTCGTTGCATTACATTGATTTTATATTTTAATTCGGAAAAATGTACTTTTAGTATTATTTTATAGTATTAGAGATTTTTAAAATAGACGCTACTGCTACAAATTCAATTATAAATAATAAGATCTGTGTAACTGGAGAAAATATATACTTTTCCTCAGAACACTGTGTTTAGCGATGCTTGAATAAACCCTACTTTCATTCACTGCTGTTGAGCTTGATATCAGCTTCGTACTTGTTTTAATATTCATGCCTTTATTGAAGATTATTGTGCATTTCTTTCATACTGTTTACTATTTTAGACTGTTTTAACTTACATATCATCTCTAGATCTCCCTTTAGAAGAAATGTCTGCTCCTGAAATTACAGAACACAAATCATTGTCTTCAAGTCTCGATAATATGTCACCTTCAAAGTGTAGAACTTTTCGTTACATTCCATGTCGTCTTTATTGTGTTCCTGAAAACACAAGTTCTACACCATCTGGTTTCATTCAGAAGCTCATTCGCCCTTTAAATGATGATGGTTCGCTTACTTCACTTCAAGATGCTATTGATATTTTTTTGCATGCAAATCCAAATTCACTTGTACAAAATCCAAAACCAAGAAGTAATTAATTTAGGCATTTTTATATTATTTCACTTTTTAAATAATACAGTCACTTAAGAAAACTGACTATTATCGACAACTAAACATACATTTTAGTGTAATAGAATGTATGTTTGGGTGAGTTTATTTTGTTTTTCTTACCTAATAATATTCAGCTGACCTAGTTAGAATAAGTAAATCTAAGACAAAATCATATTAATGACTAAAATTGTAGACACCGTTGGTTTGTTATTTATTTTTTGTCATCGAATTTGAGTGCTTAGTTTACCGATGCTAGCTAAAGTCCAAACATTATGCTTCCTATTAAACAGTTAGCAAAAGATACTCATGTTCTGCTACTATATCTACAAACTAGGAACATAATAGGGTTACCCTTCTATGACAATACTCGAATGTAAATCCTGATTTTTACTACCCATTTGGTGCCTTTTCATAAAAGCAAAATTGAAAAATGGTGGTCAAAATGTCCCTTATGAATAGGACATGTTATCATACCCCCAAAATCTAGTTCTTTGAATCTTATTGTGTAAGCGTGGTCTACGAAAATGTGGATAAGTCGAGTAAAGCATGTTCTTCAGTAATTATAGTTACTTTTATTAAAATGAGTGAAAAATACACTGATGAATGTGTATTTTAAAACTGCCGAATATATGCGTTACTTGTCACTCAAAGTACTTAAGCACTTTCCTACTTTATCTGTACAACTAACTTGTGTATCTAAATTCCAAAATCACGTTTGTTTTGACCATTATAGTCTAATTCTGCTGATTTGTAATTGTGCTTTATAACTACGTTGAAGCATTTTTATCCTTCAGGTTATCTGTTTTTCATCCATGGTATCACATTACCTAACGAAACCCCGATGCAATGGATCAGCGAACATTTATCCTATCCTGACAATTTTGTGCATATTGTCGCACGTCCTTGCAGCCATTCTCATCGGATCAAAATTCATAATCCTTCATACTTGTAGATTTCTTTTAAAATCTCATTATATTGTCTTTCAAGTGTTCGAAATTTTTCAATCCCAATATACGTTACAGGGTCAATGACTTTGGTATCTTTATATAACCACAAAATAATTATAATAAATTCTTACTCAACCTGCTTTCTTATTTGTTATAGTTTTACCGAGATTGAAACCGGAATGCATGAAATAATTCAAAATATCTGTAAAAAAAATGTTTATAAGTATTTTAAATCCTCAAAGTCAGTGATACAGTATTGTTAGTTACAGGACTGTAATTTCGAAACTTATGAGATAAAAATCTAGGAAAGAAAGTAACAATATTAGTTCATTGTTATGAATTATTAAATATAAACTGTTTTACCGCAGTGTATGAATACTCCTCCTACACTTTCCCAGACCATAAGTAAGTCACATATTATGAATCAAGAGACGGTGATGTTATTTCACCATATATTTTCTATTTACTTACTTCACTGAATATCACGTTAACCTGGTTTATTATGCTTCCGAATATATGGTATATTTTCCGTAGAAAGCGTTCATAAATGACGTATGAACTTACATCAATTGTAACGTAATAGTGTATCAAACACCAGTGGATTTCACACATCCTATTCCCTAAATGTTATGATGTCAAAATAACCATTGTTCAGTTTGTATGTCTTAATAACTGAATTATTCTGTCATTAGTACAAAGCGAAATGTGGAATCCATCTTTTTGCTGCACACAATGTATGCCAAAATTTTAAAAGGGTTGTGTTGGAAATATGGTTCTAAATATGTATTTCAGTAAACTGCTAATTTTAGGCATTTTAATGTGGTGTGTAGTCCAAAAATGCCATTCCACAAGTTTACAGTTCGCCATCGATTATATCTTGCAAAGATCCCCACTATTAAATAATTTTGAGTAGGCTTATCTACGCTACCAAAATAAAACGTAAAAACTCACATGATATTGGTGTATCTTGCCAATTTAGTCAGTGGTGTAGAAAGAAAGCTAAGAAGAACAGAAAATAACAAATTTAAACAGAGAACAAGGTGTAAGTGAATGATGAGTACCACTGAACTTATTGGACGTGAAATGGAAAGGCCAAGACGATTTGACACTAATGTGTTATTTTATTTAGAAAGGCTAAAAAAGTGCATGCATTAATGAATTAGACAATGTTATATGGTGAAATATTGCGACCATTACAATATATATTAAGAATGTTAATTTGCTAATTGGAAAAGGTCAGAAAGATTGACAGTAAGGTGCTAAGCTGTAATCAGTGTAAAAGTACAATTAGTCGTGAGAATAAAATGCATAATAGGAGAAGTTTCATCTCGATAATGGAGATTATTGTAATAGTAACGTTGTTTGAATATAATTTGTAATATGAACAGCGTGGTCAAAGTAATTATGTTAAAAAAATTATAAGAAAATTCATATGAATCGGGAAAAACAGATGTGCAGATTAAGAAAGATAATAAACACACAAAGAAATGGGAAAGGGGTTATAGTTAATGTAACCAGCCCCATTAGAGCAGTTGAATTAGTGTACACTAATCGGTAACCTATCCTTGATTCGGTGTGTGAGTACTGGTTTGATTGAGAAGAACAATGTAACTTGGTGGCATGAAATGTCCTTTCAACAAGCCTTTTGAGTCTACGTGTTAAAATATCCCCTTTAAAATTAACTTTTAGGTAGAGTATTACTGCTGTGTCAGAATTTGCTCTATTTTTCTGTTGTGATAGAAATTTTCTGACAAGATTTTCTCGACAGCCATTGTTTCGTAATACTTTTTTTAGTTTATCGATTTCGCTCTCATTTCTAAAATACTTAGTGTAGCCTGTAAGAAGAAACATTTTAGCAGTCATTTGAAATAATAATTGAATAGATCAAATTTGGTCCATCTGTTGCATGCATGCGTTTTTTAAACAACACCATGGTGAAATGTACTGACAATCAATACACGTATAAAGATTTAGTCCCAAATTTTTCCAAAATAGTCTCAGTAACTGGGATTCCTAATTCTGGTTTCCTTGCTAAATCTGAGTAGTTGTATAGTGTTACCTAATCCAATGCTGAAGCAACACTGCATTTCGAGGAGGGAGAGTCGCATAATGAACATGCTTGCGTTGTTGTTTAAGGTAGTCAGAAGACTTATATTTTGTCAGCGTATTCACCAAGTAGAACTGCGTTATCATCATATTCTAAGTCAACGAGTGAATCTCCTAGTAAAAGTTCAATTTGTGAAAAGTCAGACGATGAAAGTGTCGTTTCTAAGAGCATGCCAATGACAAGGTTGAATAAGAATGGCGAGAGTGGATAGCCTTGACAAACAAACACCACTTGAAGTAGTCAGTTCTGATGACAACTCACCACAAGCTGTGACTCGTCCAACAGTGTTGGAGTAGAGAGCTCGTACAAAAGGTTAATTTATTTCTCTGGCAATCCAGTCAGTGACAGACACTGCCATAGGACCGCACTATCGACACAGTTAAACTGATTGCTCCGTGACTGTCAAAAGAGGACTTTGGTTCTTTCCTGAATTCTAACGAAGATCTCGGTCAATTCCACTGCTAAAAATGGACCACATCAATAAAAATCTCAGGAGTCGATCTGTCAGGTCCCGCTGCTCTCCCTCGTTTTACATTTCCCATAGCTTCCTCAATTTCCTAAAGAGTTGGAGGACTTCAGTAAGAGTTGCGGAACACATCAATTTTCTACTCAGGTTGACTGGAGATGGTGGGTAACCGAAGTGTGGCTGAAGGCCAGTTGAACTGCATCCTAAAGTGTACTGCTCATCGATCCAACCTCCTGAATTGAGAATGAATAATAGCCCCACCTTTTTTGGAGAGAGTCTCATTAACACTAGGATTCCTAATTCTGGTTTCCTCGAATCGCTTCCTAAAGTGACAACTGCGAGTGTCTCTACCTTTCCGAGTTCCTACTATCTTGTTTAGTTGAACAGCGCATAAGCGACTGTCTACCGGAATCCAGTCTAGAAGAGCTAATTTTGCTTAAAAACTATGTTATACCTACGTCAGCAAGGCCACGGGAAGCAGCAGCAGATCTTCCGTATACTCGAAAATTTAAATCGAGTTGGTTCTTTATTTTGATATGGTGAGGTCAAATGACTGATATTACTTGAATCCTGTATGCGCGTTTGGGAGACGAGTTTCAGGTTGCAATACCACATTAGCAAAGAGACGCCAATGTCAGTTTAAATCCCATAGTGGCGGAAATAGTAAAAGAATAAGCGACAAAAGAGAATATAAGGGATCGAAGATATTATTCAAGAACTATAACTCAGTGAGATAACTTTGGAAAGAGAAAGATAGAGATGATGAGGAATTCTGAAGGTTAGAATTTCAGAGAACACAATGAGTGGATGCACCTGCGCTATTGCAAACGATTTTGAGACATGTCGTTCCAGGTCTCTGACTTTGTCTCGCGGACCCCAACCAGATAACCTACATCTACCAACACGACTCAGTCCACTTGTCAGTGACTTTATGGATTTGTGTGACGTTTCAGTCTGACCGCCCCTAGCTTTCTTCCAACCTATTCCTACACCACAAAATATAGTTCGTCGAGACAGTTGGTGGTTAGGCATTCGTAACACATCCTAACCACCTTAACTAACTCCGCCTGTTTCTGGTAGCCCTGATGCTGACTCGTGGCCTCGCCTGCGTAGGTATAGTAATAGGTCCTAGGGTAGAAGTAGCTTTCTTGGACTGGATCCCGATAGACAGTCGCTTATGGGCTGTCCGACTAAACAGGGCATCTACGACTTGGAATGTTAGGGACACTCGCCATTGCCTCTTCGACGTATCTGCCTACGCTCTCACTGACTACAGTTCAGACGACTTAAAAGATGAGCTTTACAGAAACCTCTCCAAACTTCTTCAAAAAGTCAGGCGCTGTTATAATTTCGGTGGTTGGTGACTTAATGCTCAAGTAGGTAGACTCAGCGAAAAGGAAAGACACTTGGGTGGATCTTACGTTTTCGCGGCTCAGAGAACTGATAATAACGAGTCTGCTGTAATTATGCTCAAGTAACCGCCTATTTCTAGCAAACACTAATTTTAGGCATAAGGAAAAGCATCTCTTGACATGACGACCCCCGAAGTCGTCACAACGCTGGACCTAAATAGATCACATCGCCATCAGCCACCGATGGAGGGTTTCGATAGAAGATTATCGCTCGTACCAAAGAAGTACATTAATCTTATACAAGCTCTCTACTCAAACCCTACAGGTCGAGTGACAGCTTCTGTGATGATGGAGCTTCTAGAGACAGATCATGGTTATTAATTCTTAGTCTCTGGTGGATTAGACAGTTTTAAACAAATGTTTAAGCCTATACACCACAAAAATGATGGTACATAGATTTAGGATATAGCATGGATCATTGACCATAATAATCAGAATGATTTGAATAAAGAAGCTTAATAAAGTAAAAAACTTACTTTAGTTACCTCGTCTTACTGTATTGTTGCCATCTGCCAACAGATACAAAGAAATAGTGTAGTAACTTCTGATCCAAAATGATTTGCTTCAAGTCAAAACTTTTCACTGCAAGCATCAGGACTATTACGGTAAAAAAATGGAAGGTCACTGTGTGAATGAAGATCATTTCTGATTTTCAAACCTGATGTTTGGACGAAAGAGAGGAGTAGGAAATTACGTAGGCTACTGAAAGAACTCCACTTACAAACTACCTCATATAGGAAGGAATTTTCGAAAAATAAAATTCAAGTTAAAAATGTAGGAGAAATTAGGAAGAAGCTCATCATTCTAACTACTTCCTTCGAAAGTTTTGCCCAGCTTTAAGCGAACTGGTGTAACCGCTTAAAATAATTTGTTTCAAGGAAACTCATTGTATAGAATATAGAAGCATGCGTTGTTAAAATAAACTTGTTGATAAAGAACATAGCACACAATATTCGGTACAAGCTACATATAATATGACATATGTGTTTAAGAAACTATAAATTGAGACGTGGCATATAAAAACTTCAACAACAGTCTAAATTCGATTTTGAAGGAAAAAAATGTCATGGCCTTTATCAGTTCATTTGTGATATTCATTATATATTTGGTTTTTAGTACTAGAGATTGGTTTTCAACATAGTCGTATTCTAAAAGTACACTAGTAATTAAACTGACCATAATACCCTCCATAAACTAAGACCAGTTTTATAAACCGCGATATTCAGATAAGGTTGATATTGAAAAGACTACTGTGGGAGAGAACAAACCGGATTCCAGTGGAGGAAAAATCAAGAAGAAGCTCTCGAAGTGAATAGGAAACATTTAGGGAAGCATCCAACTATGTCACAAGACAAGCCCTCACTTGGAATCCTCAAGGCCAACAGAAAAGAGGAAGGCCAAGGAACACATTACTCCGAGAAACGGAGACGGAAATGAGAAGAGTGAACAACAGTTTGCCAGAACTAGAAGGGAAGGCTCAAGACAGAGTAGATTGGAGAATGTTGGTCAGCGGTCTATGCTCCACTGGGGATAATAGGTGTCAGTAAGATAATTAAAAGAGAGATGATTCCTCGAATTCTCTTATTTCTCCTGTCCATCAATCATTAAATAACACAAACATGTTTTCGGCGAATATTTATTTGGCACTCAACATGCAGACGTTAAGTTTATAGTGTATTATTTCTCTGAACTATTAACGAGGAAATTAACTAGTCAAAGTATGTTACTTTTTTCACGATATTATTTGTAACGAGTAATAACCGTAAAGTAATAATAATAATAATAATAATAATTCGAAATATAAAGAAATATAGTAAAAACACTGAAAATAACATTGACAGATGAAATTATGATGATGATTACTTAAACGGAGATGAAATATATATAGAATACTATGAATAAATAGTACATTCGATATGACTATAAAAAGATCTCAGTAAATAAAACACATCAAAGAAGAACAACAATGAAAACACTTTTAGATTGAGTTATGTAACTGAATAAACAACTAAATAGATCAATAAAACGATACAAGTGATATAAGTGTTATGGATTGAACGAAGGTCGGTAGATAATATGTAGATGTCAAGAATGTTGATGTAAGCATAATACAGAAATAAAATTATCTGATAAACTAAAACGAAAGTAATCATTATTAAAATCTGTTTATGTATAAATATCACAATGTGGTGAACAAGTTGACAGTAAGAAAGTAAGAGAACTAAAGAGTTTCAAGCTAACATCTTTAAAATAAAATAAATTATATACTAGGTGAAAAATCAATGTACGAGGCAACCATTCAATGTGATTATGCAAGACTTTCCCTAGAAAATGTTTTCGTATACAACATCTGAAACATAAGTCTTTCTAGATTACACTGAAGTGTAAAATAGTAACTAACAGAAAAACAAGCGAGCTATTTGCTAGGGAAATGTGATTAGATTCCCCTTTTAATCTCATAGTTGATGGCATATTTAATATTCGTCCATTCATACCTGTCAGTGATGATGTTTTAAAAATGATTCGTTGTGTTTCTGAGAATCCCATTGAATTCTGTCCAGATAATTCTAGTTCGTATGCACTGTCTGGCTTTAAATCATCAATTAGGAAATTGCATATTTTTTGATCCTCTGCCACTGATGTAACACACAGCGGTTCAATGTTATTAAAATGAGTCCAAGATCCAATAGGACGTCCAGCTATCTCACCTAATTTTTGGATTAAATTATAAATGAAATGAAGCCTAGTTTTATTTAGATTGTTTCACAAACGCTTGTTTACATAAAGACTGCATCAAGAGAATTTTTTGTTTCTTTATTATTCATAGTAATATAAGAATCAAAAATCCATGGTCTAAACTACCAAACCTCTCACATCGTGATGCTCCTACTTTTTTACAAATCGAAATTATCTGTATTTTTAGTTGCAAGATATATGTTGTTTAAACTGTCATTAAGCTAAAGAACAAAAAAATTAAAGTTCATCAGGTTAACTGATGTGATACGATACAAAATGAGATCACGTTGTTTCTTCACTCAGTGTGATTGTCACTGGATATTACTTTCCTTCAATTCAGAATAATATTCGTTTTGTTTTCAGGGTAGTAATTTGCCCAATAGGTAGTGTAGTATTTCACTTAGTATAGCACTGGTTTATTTTAATGTGATGTTCATTCTTTGTACTAAATTGCGATGAAATATGCTCAGCATTATGTGTGGCTTGTGATCTGTTACGATTCTGCTGATTATTTCATGTATATTAATTTTTTCGAAGTCATCATCAAATAAGTGAACAAGTCATTTTTGGCTAGGGTCATTGTCTCGAGTTTCTGAGCGGATAAATCTTCGCTTATACCAGTCTTTTGCATTCTTAATTTGTGTCGTGGGATTTACAGTGGTCCCTCATTTCCAAGTTTAAATAATAGGCGAGTCAGATATAATAGTGGCAATCCGGATATTACTATTAATTTATTGGTAGATTATAATAAATTTTTGAAATTTTTGTCGGCAATCCCTAATACATTGAGTAGTATATTTATTATGTGATTTTAATTCTCAGATTAAATAAAACTAGACATTCAGGAAAATTGAAATTTTAAAAGTATGATGGCCAATTTATGACATTTAGCTACATTTCAGTTTACATCAGCATCATGTTACAGGGCTAATTTAACTTGGAAAATCTACAGCATATATGGCTTAAGCCTAAAAATAATGCTCTTAGCTTTTTCATTCATTCTACCGTAATTTTAAACAACGGTAATAAGTTAATGGACGAATTATCTTCAAAAATTACGTCATTTATTATCTTTCAATCAGATAAATTTTAATTTTATTCCATGTAAAAAGTTTAAAAACAATTTATTTTACTTTTATGTAAGTGTAAACTGAGCAGAAAGATTTACATGTAAAATACGAGTTCATGATAGATAGTAACGTGAATGAAACAAGACTAGATTATTTCTCATGAATTTGATAAATAAGGAAATAATCTTATATAACATCTTCCAACTTAATATGAATTTGATTGATTATTTATCTTATGAGTAACTAAGAATAGAAATTACATCATTAACCTGTTTACCATGATTGGTACAACGACATAAAATCCGTCTCACACCTCTCAGTGGTACGCTGGAGCTAATGAGACTCTGTTTCATGAACTGTCGTGAGCGGCTGGATAGAGATCGGTCTAATCTCTCATTATTTCTTAAATAAGGATTGCAAAAGAAAGGAATGTATTGTATATATGATTGTGAATAGGAGAAATGAAAAAAAGAATGTTCCCTTTGGTGCATGACTAGACTCTCGAGGAAGGTCCATTAGGTTTATTTGAATGGACTAGAATGTATGGATATAAATTGTGCCGTAACTGGTCCACAGAGGTGGGCAGTAAACTAGCTTGTGGTATGGGCGTGAAGTACCATATCATCAAAAGACGAATCACAATGTGAATTTGATTACTTGATATTTATCCATTGATTTCTACGGAGGATCTGTCAGGAGTCGAACAGCTTGATTCCATCTCTTGCGACTGTAAAATTGAGTGAAGTGGGTAAGAATCTTACAGGAAAATCATTTTCCTTCGATGATGAAATTTGTGCCAAATGACACAAAACGAGGACCCAAATTTTACTCTCGTTTGCTTATGTTCAATGATAATATAATGTAGTTTGACATCATACTACTGACCATATTGTAACTTTATCTATCGAATTTGATCAGTACAAAGGGATAAACAAATAGAGGATCGTTAATCCTGTGTTATTGGTCAGCATATATAGCTAAAACACGAGATAACTTTACACACATAGATATTCAGGAGCATAGAATTCGATCGTACAGAAGAAGTGAATGCAATAACTAACTGCGGTAACCAACCAACACTCTGAAGAACTATTGAGTAGAGGTACCTATTAAAAATAAATTTCCTTCTGAAAAGCAATTTATGGAAATGAGGATTCTTATGAAAAATTTAGATATTTAATTTATTTTAGATATCCCTACTAACTAAAACGAGAAAATCAGTGAAAAAATAAATCTTTAAAAAGGAAATAAAAGGAAGGAGATCAGCTGACGCAGCAACAATTAGACTTAGTATAATGATACGATAAGTACAGAGTATACAAATTCACACGTATCTGCCAAATCAGTTACATTGGTAGAACAGAAAGGAGGGCCTTCATTTAATTGAAAGAACACATTCCAAAAATTCAAACGTTCAGCGGATTAAAGGCATCTCGAGACATCTTTTTGATACAGAATATCAAACGGATATACTGTACCCTTCCGAAGTGAATAATAGATAATCAAAACCCTATATTTCGAAATTTGCTCAAGCTTTAGCGATCAAACGTCTGAAACCAGATTTGTGTTCAAAAAGAAACAGTGATAATTCTTTCTTTACTCTGATCATATCATATTCATTCCTTTACATCATTCTTTATTTCAACTCTTTCTCAAGTTTTGATTACATCATTTTTTGTCAATTCATAATTTTGATTCTTATTGACTAATTTCAACTCATATTATTCTTTATTACTATTAATCTGTCGTCAATTACTTGATCAATGTTATCTGAAACTTTCCCGTTCACGCTTTATTTATGTGAGAAAATTTTTTAATACGATCTCGTTAATTCGCTACATCGAGATACACATCTCTAATCACCTTCGTATTTATAATTATATCAGTTCTTAAGATAATTTTGATTTTAAAACGTTATTGGCCGTTAGCAGCTGATGAGAACCTAGCAAAATAAAGTAAATCCATATAATTCCGCACCAATTTTTATTTTCACTCTCTTCATGACAATCAATGGAATTTTGTGTATGAAATAATAATAATGATTCTAAGTATTAATGCGTCATAAAAATAATCAGAGACATACCCATAGAATAATCAACTTCTACTGGTCTGATATTGATATTGTATTGATTGATATCCATACCGTTTGTTGTTTCTGTATTCCAATGAACATTGTATCCTGTGGGACTTATATAATCCTGGGAAGCGAGTAGTTTAATTACTGGTCTAGATAACCGATTCGTGGTTACCTATTAGCATAAAGTTGATTGGTGATTACAAATGGTAACTACTGATGAAAACATGAATAATATACATTTGGAAAACTTTAAAAAGGTTCCCATTTTCACAAGGGTTAGCTAGCTGGATATTTTATTACCACAAAACCACAAAGTATAATTGATAATAAGACATCCGATGAAGAAATAATATAAATGATGTATCACGCACAATCATTTGAACAGTTTTCTAACGCTAGAACACTTTCCCGACCGTAGCTGTTACCTTGACTTGGTGGTCAGGCTTGCTTATCGTGATGACCCGATCGACCCATATTGGCTGGAACATATGTTCCTGTAGGTTCTACCATGCCAGGCAGGTCGACTGAAGAACGATGATACTAAAGATTGCTACTCAAGGTCTGAGGGCGAAATTGTACTGCTGACTGTAGAGGAATGTGATATTAGTAAGGTATTTCCCTCGGACAACAAGAATCTGCCACAATGCTGTCTTCTCACAAGGAAGTAAGGGGTTAGGAAAGGTCGACCCTAAAAATGTCTTCGATTATAGATGTCTTCGGAGCATAGCTCGTATATCCTGGGACAACCGAGTAAGCAATGCTGTTGTTAGGAAACGGGTACTAGGTAGGGATGGCAGATCAATAGATGAAGTATTGAAACTTCATCAGTTGAGGTGGTTGGGATATGTGTTACGAATGCCTAACCACCGGCTGCCTCGACGAGCTATGTTTTGTGGTGTAGGAATAGGTTGGAAGAAAGCTAGGGGCGGTCAGACTGAAACGTCACACAAATCCATAAAGTCACTGACAAGTGGATTGAGTCGTGTTGGTAGATGTAGGCTATCTGGTTGGGGTCCGCGAGACGAAGTCAGAGACCTTGAACGACATGTCTCAAAATCGTTTGCAATAGCGCAGGTGCATCCACTCATTGTGTTCTCTGAAATTCTAACCTTCAGAATTCCTCATCATCTCTATCTTTCTCTTTCCAAAGTTATCTCACTGAGCTATAGTTCTTGAATAATATCTTCGATCCCTTATATTCTCTTTTGTCGCTTATTCTTTTACTATTTCCGCCAGTATGGGATTTAAACTGACATTGGCGTCTCTTTGCAATGTACATACGTACGAAGTTCCGAGTTGTAACTGACTGACTGACTACTAGAATACTTTATCATTCTACTACTAATTGACTTTGAACAACAAAGTAAAAGCAATACATTATTTCTGTAAAGCTCTTGGAAATATCACGATCGAACACCGGATGTAACACAGGATAAATTATTAACTTAAAGGTAGTATGTGTTTAACCATACTATGGACACATCATGTTGAAGGTTACTGGTCAGATATGAGATCTGACTATAGACTATCTGTTAACTGTAGTCTAGGAAGAATGAATTTCACTACTGTTGTTTATTCAGATGTTTCGAGTGAAACATCTTAGGGACATTAATGTGTTTCGTGAATAAAAGTGATCACTGGTTAATGAGCTGTAAGAAATAAATAATCCGGTTTTTCTATCTAAAAACGACAGTACGTACAATAATCATAGCTTATAATGACTTGTGTGCAATATTTGAATTGCGCGTTATTTTCAGATTGCTAAAGGTAGGAATAAAATTCAGTAACTCGCACTTACAGCTTGTGAGCACTAAGGGCTGTTATACATACCTGCAAATATGCATTTGGTCCTCTTCCAGCCCTTGATACAGCCGACAATGCAAATCGATAGTAATAACCCGGAATCAGATTTGGTAATCTCAGCACTCTTCGACCAGGAAGATAAGCGAAAGGCCCATGAAAAGCACCTCGAGGATGAGTTTGAATCCTTAATTCATAATGCGTGAGTGGCAAACCACCTGTTTCGTTTGGGGGTTCAACACACAATTCAATCAAAGTTGCTTCAACCTAATTGAAATATATCATAAAATGTGACATATATTATTGAACTACATTAATTTCATGGTTTGATACCAGTGGCAATACATTTTGAAACTGACTGTAATAACATCGGTCCTTGACAAAAGAGAAAATAATTTTTATGAATGATGGTAAGAGATTCCAAGTAATAAATAAACCTTTATAATAGATGACATGTGCATGCAGTCACTAAAATCACTGTTTAGAGAAATTAAATTAAATATGTAGGATCTGATTTGTCTACAGATGAATTTTTTTAAACAAGTCCCTAAACTGTCGTACACTGAGTATGGGCGCAACTTTTATCAAAAGAAGTGACAAACGGTGTGAAACTTTACCTATGTCTAGAACACAAATTAATGCAACCAGTAAAAATATAATATTAAACTAAACTAGACAAAAGGAACGATAACCACCTACATTTCGAATAGTATTAAGGACACGACATTCGTTAATGAAAATATTGGTTATTTTTATGTATAAAAAGTAGTGTAACTTAGTAATTGGCCGGTTCAAGACTAGAATGACTCCATTTGTTAGGAGATCATTCAAAATATTATTTGTGAATTTATTTTTACAGACCAGGATTGACAGAATGAATTCTGAATTAGGCCTTTTGATTCATACCTTATGTTTTTCTTAAGTTCCTTGATCAAGAAAAGAAATATAGTATCTTATTGAGAACCCGTTCATTGCACACCTAATAAAAATTATTCATTAGTTAACTTACTTTACAGGCTCTTAACGCCGGCCTACCAGGATGGCTAGCTAGCTGCAGTCGAATATGCCCAGTAGCATGGCCTAATGTATTGGTTGCAGTACACGAATAGGTACCGAATACTCCAACATTCCAATAACCGGCCGGAACAGTTAGTTCAGTAACAGAATATTCACCGTCAAGATAGTCCACTTTAGTATAGCTGAAATTAAGAAGTGCTTTTTTGTCTAACTCATTATAAGGTTTTAGTTAAAATGTAGAAATAAATGGAAATAAACGAAATGAATTCGTTTATTCATTCTCTGAAGAAGTGGTGTACATTTAGTCACGAAATGTCAGCAGAATTTTAACTTTTCTACCCATTGTTATACTATTAATATATTAATTCACTCATTAATAATCCACCCAATGCCGAATTTATTTGAAATTATCAATTCAAACCTTGATAATAATACCTATAAAGTCTATCTGAATTCGACAGATAATGTTGCTGGTAATGTTGCTGAGATCGTATCTGCTGTTACAGATAAATGTTACCTCTCAAGTCAAAATATAAACAATATCCCGTTTAGTTAGGAGACAATTTAGGTTTGACTGTGAGCTTAATTTCTTCCATAGTGTGCATTTATGTATGTATACAAAAGGGATTCGACCAAATATTTTCTTTCTTTAATAGTCACAGAGTTCCCGACATAGCTACACGAATGTCTCCTAAATTTATAATAAACAAATTCATATCTTTTAAAAATTAACTTCGAGAATTTGCACGGCGATTGATAAACGAAAATTATTTTATCATGGGTCAGAGTTTTTGTCATAACAACCTCTACATATTACCGTTTACTGGCAGTATATATGCAACAAGATTCAAGGTTGATCAATAAGAAGTCTAGCTCAGTATTTTTTTGAAGGATGATTATGTTCAGTACGAAAGTACTACATCTCTAAAGTTTATTAATAATTTAAGATTTATGAAACGAAATATGTCTTAAATCAAATAAGTTCTGAATATGATTAACTGAGGATATCTTGCTAAGATGACCAAAATTTCGAAACTAAGCGGTGATCTAGAATTTAAAGTGTGACACTAGTTCCTGAATCAGAAAAATTAACATATTACGTACATCTGAAGCATGAAAAATTCTTTGCAATCATCATTCGTATTATAATGCAGAAACAAGCTGATGACCAAAATATTTTGAAAATAAACTGCAGAATGATTTTGGTGAGTAGTTACGAGACGTTATATATATATATATATATATATATATATATATATATATATATATATATATATATATATATATATATATATATATATATATATATATATATATATATATATATAATGTTTAGTTTAAAGGAAGGATTTCAACACAATCAGCTACAAACAATGCATCAGAATGATATACAACTAAATTATGAGACTAGTTGACGGTTTTTCTACGTTATCAGTTGTGATGAAACTTGACTAAGTAACACAAAATATTTGAATCTGTACCAAATACTCCTCCTAGATAGCCTGATAAAGATATTTTCAGTTGGACATAGTGAGCTTAAAAGTGACTACTCGTTCCCGTTTCATTCTACTGAACGAGATCCATTCATTTAACACAATCTACTTTAGCATAAAAAGTTATCGCTAAACATCAAATGTATCACTTTAAGGCAGCATTCGTTTTTGTTAACTAAAAAGTTTATTTAAAAGCAGATCATAGAGGTAAATAAACCTTGTGAAGGCTCTCTACACAGACACTATTGGTAGAATCGGAACACATGGCCTGCCGTCACTGGAACTTTCAGCTCCAAATGGCTGTCGTCAGGGTTCACCACTGAGCTCCTTTCTATTCAGTTTGGCCATAGATATCATTCAAGAAATAATACTCTCATCACTTTACTTTTCAGTGATCAATCTACTAGGTGATTCTCTTCTAGGCTTAGAATAAAAAGTAAGCATGGCCTTATATTTCAGAACTGTGAATGACTAAAAATAATCCGGGAAAATTTTAAGAAGTAACTGTTATACGTTTTTAGTCTATTTTAATCTAAACTCGAAATGTTGTTGAGAACTAAATGTCTGAAGGTAGTTTAATTTATTTCTGAACACATCTAAAACTCATTTAAATCGTCTACAAAAAGTTCATTTCCTAATAAAGATAAAAATCAAATTGAAGTTGAAATACTAATCAAAAGAGTTTAGTTAACTATTTTTAATGCTTGTTTTATTTCTTGTGCATCCCGAAATCATCTCTCAGGGGGTTGATGATGGAGTGAATCAGACGTTCTTAATCAATTTTCTAGTACATTTTTCACAGAAAATCGAAAGTTTAATATAACGCTACTTTCTTAGTTAACACAACCTGCTTATTTATCAAGTGATCAGAATGCTATATTGCAGCGACTTGAAGAACTAGAACTCACCGGTGTAATCGTTTATCACTCAGTTGAAAACAACACTTACTCTCCTGTATTGTTTAATTGATAAATTTATCTTTAGGTTTTGTAATTTATCAAGTTAAATGAACGAAAGATTTTTCAAATCAGTGTTTATTGTTCTGTTTCAATTTATAAAAAGTTAAATAATAGTTCTTACAATTTCTGGTGCAATGCAAAAATGAAATATAGAACGCCAAACATTAAGATTACTTACCCTTTCGGATCATCTACTTCACCTAATGGTACATTTGGTCCACTTTGTGGTCCCACCCATTTCCATTGAGGTGTTGGTTGTCCTAGTGCCTGGCAAGCTATTTTAGAAGGTAAATGTGATAAACCATAGACAACATATTTGCCAGGTTGAGAAGGTGCCTCATTTTCATCCGTATCCAGTTGGTCTGATATCTCACTAACACGTCGGGGCTCTGCAACAGGTGGAGCAAACCAAACTGTTACTCTCCCAGGAGGTTCTGATGGTGTAGGAGTGACTGCTCGCCAATGAGGTCCGGAAAGTGCTTCACATAAATAAAATGAATTATCATCCGGTGTCAAGTCTGAAAAGCATTAAAACACAAAATAAATTGTAATTTTTCTTGATAGATAGTAACTAGAATTTCATTGAAATCAATTACAGCCACTGAGGACAATTGTCCAAGAGAATGAACTGATGCTCAGATAACCGAATTCAGGTACTTCTATATCATAACAGCTAATCGTTTACATATATTAGTTTTCCGTTTTACGAGAATAATAAGAAATCCAACTGCTAATTAGATTTTTGCGTATTGACTAAATTAATAACAAGAACCACCATGTAAACGTGCAGGCAAAATGCAACTGACCAGCAGGTCTATAATATACTACCACGAAACCGACTTCGTAAGAACTGTAAGGTTTCTAGATTTTAGATAATTAATTAAACAAACAAAGTTGTTGTAATTCAATGAAACGTTTGAATAACTTAGTTACCAGTATTTACAGATCAAATATGAGCAAGTTATACTATTTATTCTATTTAATTGACGTGTCAGATTTCAGTTAGAAAAATGTCCAAAAATGTAGGAACTGGATGCTCGTCCAGAAAGTATTATTATTGTTATAACAGAAATTTCTTACATTTTTATGCTCAACCATTAAACAACTGTTTACAAACTGGATGGTAATTATTCGTTAAACACTTTTACCTAAAAATGAAGAAAGCTAAAGTACATGAGTTTCAAAAGTTACATATAGTCGTCTCCCTCGTGAGAAGGGATTACTGGACTACATAATACCAATCTTGGAGTCACGGATGACAAAAATATATTACAAGCCATGTCAATATGAACAATAACAAAAATGTTGGTGTCACGGAACGCTTCTGAAAATTAGAAAGTTAATTTTCATATGGTGTTTGAATGACTAATAAACACTAGATTTATAGACGATCTCTGGAAAATCGTAAAACATTTTGCAGAAAATCAAGCACAGATTACATTCAAAAAAAGCAGCCTCCAACAGTAACAGTTTAATGTTGCTAAATATCAGTCAGCAACAACGTAGAACTTTGCACGTACTTACGTATATCAGTTCATGTTGCCATACACCAATAGGATAGAGATCGAGTTGTCAATTCAAATCCCACTGAAGTAGAGGTAGTAGATTAATGAGCAGTTATCAGAAAGATCAACAAGTGAATCTCCTAGTAAAAGTTCAATTTGTGAAAAGTCAGACGATGAAAGTGTCGTTTCCAAGAGCATGCCAATGACAGGGTTCAATAAGAATGGCGAGAGTGGATAGCCTTGACAAACAAACACCACTTGAAGTAGTCAGTTCTGATGACAACTCGCCACAAGCTGTGACTCGTCCAACAGTGTTGGAGTAGAGAGCTCGTACAAAAGGTTAATTTATTTCTCTGGCAATCCAGTCAGTGACAGACACTGCCATAGGACCGCACTATCGACACAGTTAAACTGATTGCTCCGTGACTGTCAAAAGAGGACTTTGGTTCTTTCCTGAATTCTAACGAAGATCTCGGTCAATTCCACTGCTAAAAATGGACCACATCAATAAAAATCTCAGGAGTCGATCTGTCAGGTCCCGCTGCTCTCCCTCGTTTTACATTTCCCATAGCTTCCTCAATTTCCTAAAGAGTTGGAGGACTTCAGTAAGAGTTGCGGAACACATCAATTTTCTACTCAGGTTGACTGGAGATGGTGGGTAACCGAAGTGTGGCTGAAGGCCAGTTGAACTGCATCCTAAAGTGTACTGCTCATCGATCCAACCTCCTGAATTGAGAATGAATAATAGCCCCACCTTTTTTGGAGAGAGTCTCATTAACACTAGGATTCCTAATTCTGGTTTCCTCGAATCGCTTCCTAAAGTGACAACTGCGAGTGTCTCTACCTTTCCGAGTTCCTACTATCTTGTTTAGTTGAACAGCGCATAAGCGACTGTCTACCGGAATCCAGTCTAGAAGAGCTAATTTTGCTTAAAAACTATGTTATACCTACGTCAGCAAGGCCACGGGAAGCAGCAGCAGATCTTCCGTATACTCGAAAATTTAAATCGAGTTGGTTCTTTATTTTGATATGGTGAGGTCAAATGACTGATATTACTTGAATCCTGTATGCGCGTTTGGGAGACGAGTTTCAGGTTGCAATACCACATTAGCAAAGAGACGCCAATGTCAGTTTAAATCCCATAGTGGCGGAAATAGTAAAAGAATAAGCGACAAAAGAGAATATAAGGGATCGAAGATATTATTCAAGAACTATAACTCAGTGAGATAACTTTGGAAAGAGAAAGATAGAGATGATGAGGAATTCTGAAGGTTAGAATTTCAGAGAACACAATGAGTGGATGCACCTGCGCTATTGCAAACGATTTTGAGACATGTCGTTCAAGGTCTCTGACTTTGTCTCGCGGACCCCAACCAGATAGCCTACATCTACCAACACGACTCAGTCGACTTGTCAGTCTCATTAACAGTAGGATTCCTAATTCTGGTTTCCTTGATAAATTTGAATAGTTGTCTACTCTTACCTATCGCCGCAGCCTTTTCCGTCTCTATTGTTTTCACATATTACTACTGTTAGCAATTATTGCATAGTCTTCTTATCAGCCTCCACTTAAGCTCTCTACGCTCCTCATCACGTTTGGAGCCGCATGGGATGCTTTTCTGAAAATCAATCGGTTCATTGGATGCCACTGAAACTCTCTACTTCTTTCTAACCTTTTGGTTTATCACTGCTGTCTATACAGCCTTTCGGATATCGTTTCAAGGTGCCTCGGCATTGTCATCACTTACATGGCTGCCTAACTGTTTTTCTAGTTGATCTCGGAATACACTCTTAGCTTTGTTATCGATAAGTAGAACTCCGAAGGGTTTGCTTGCAGTGTCTTTCCTACGCCCATTAAGAATCAAACGAACACCTGCTCGCACTAGAGCATGATCTGAATTTGTGGATAATCTGAGAATATATGATATTATGGTTTATGGAAGCTTACCTGTAATATCCAAACGCAGAATTGTTGCATATGGATTCCGCGGATCTGGTTCAACTTTCAAGTGATATCGAGGATTCATACCAGGTTTGACTATTTCAATAAAATCACTACTATTCAGCTCATTATTCATGCTGTTCGCTGCTAACAAACTAGTGTACTGTGAATCAGATGAAAACCAATCACTTAAACCATCGTCTTTAACGAATGGTTTGTGATTAATAATCGGGTTCTTGCCCGAAGAGTAGGTTGACTGAGTTTCAGAAACATCGTCATACAATTTCAGCAGAGGATTTGTGTTTTCTGGATACATAGTTTGAGATAAATAGGAAATAAGCTTGTTGACACCAGGACCTTTTAAAAGCCGAACCCGTAGACCCATTTTACTCGGGAGACCGCCATATGCTTCGCATGTTAGCCGGCAGCTTTCTCCAGGATATCCGCTGGCTTTTAAATTAGTTCCTGAGCGAACAAATCTGGGTCTGAGGACAATATCAGGAAGAATGCTGCAAAAAAAATATTATGAGTGTTTATAAAAAAATTCAGCGACTTAAAAAACCTACTTTAGGTTAGAATGTTCTAGCAAAGTACTATGCAAACAAACAAAATCAACCAGGCTTACAGTCAGAATATTTTTTCTGTTTGAAACAGCTGAAATGATTTCATAAAACAAATACATTCATACTGTTTTGCCGCGTTTGTTGCTTTTATTTTATTCAAAACTATCAATGCGAAAAGTAGTTTGAAATTTCGGAGTTAAGTATCTACTCTCTTATTTACTTTTGTAAAAAAATATACGTAAGAGAGATTTCGATATGAAATTGTGGTGTGTGCTACTTATACGAACGACATAAGTAGTATAAGAAGGGACGTGAAAGAAGTCGCACGGTCAGAAGAGGAAAACGGAAAGCAAATGGAGCAAAAGCAAGAAGTAATTGGAGTACCAACAGGAAGGAAAGGAAGCAACAACAGTAATGGAAGAAGGATGGAGTGTTGGAAGTCATGACTCAAAGATGGTGTGTAAATAGAGTACTTCTTGCCTTTGCTCCATTTGCTTTCCGTTTTCCTCTTCTGACCGTGCGACTTCTTCTTTCATGTCCCTTCTCATACTACTTATATCGTTCGAATAAGTAGCACACACCACAAAATCAGCATAAATTCTCGCTAGATATGACACCTAGATCTACGCTAAAACTCTCGAACCTAAAAAATGTTTGGGGAAAACAGATTCTCACCAATGTTCAGTAACAACATACTTCTATTCGATGCAAAGGATTGCCCTCAAAATCCTTCTGGATATGAAATAATCCGAAGGTCAGTCTTAGACAGGAAGAATCATCGCAAACTTAAGATTAAATCATTTTCGTCTTACAAATTCTTACAGATATACACTCACCTCCCAACGTCTGTAAAATTTCCGACTCCACCATATAAATTCAAATTCAAGAGAGCGAGACAAGTATAACGAGTAGCGTCTGAAGGCATTAGGTTATTGATTGTTAGGCGCGACATTGCTATAACTGGATCTCCTCGATCATCTTTTCGAAAACCAGTTGACAACTGGAAACGACCCAACTCATGTGTTTGTATCCCTTTTCTATGGATGCTACCACGATTTTCAGGTGCCTTGTTCATAACTTCGTTTGATATATTTACCATATTAATTGCAGAAGGAAAAAGATGATCAAAATCAGCGATAAGAATTCCCAGTTCTCGTTGTACATCTTCCAAAGGTAAGTGCTGTAACGCTGACTTGATCCGTTGATCAAACGTAATAGCTTGTGAGCTATGTGTTGTTAGAGATCCCATACCACCTCTATACCAGAGTAGCTGGGGACTTGGCCTCCCACGGGCCTGGCATTCTAATATGAGTGTTCCACCTTCTTGAACTATCTTCTTTGAATTTTTTATAATGGGTTTTTCTTTCTTTTCATCACTCTCGCGCCACAGAGGCAGGACAGATTGTAAATAATTGGGTGACCCTTGAACTGTATCTAGCCTCTGTTCATCCTGACGTCTGTTAACAATGTGTTTGTATGAACTGACCAACTGCGGCTCATCTGAATCCGTTTTAGAGAATACTTCTGCGGGGCTTCCTGGCAGCAAACGTGGGCGTGAATAAACGATTCCACGAATGGCTTGAATTTGTATCAAGAAAGGTGCAGTTACAACTCCACTTTCGTATAAGCGTGAATCACTTTCTGAATTTTGTGGTGACCATGTTGGATTAACAGTTTCTGCCTTGCATAAAAATATTCCTGAATGACGTGTATCCACTCTCGAAATGTCAAGTACCTTTAATTAGAAAATATTTGGAAAAAAGACAATCAATATTAGTTCATATATAGTGAATGTATGCTCAGTTGATATCGAATACATAACACAATTGACAAACAGAAGTTAAAATATGCATGGAGTAAGCTAGAAATAAAAATTGTGTATGCCTGAATAACCATAAATTGTTCATGAGTGGTAATTAGTAGCTCCGAACAAACTATACTTCATTCACCCGTAAGCATAATAGAAATCTAGACTGCTGAACATGTCTTTCGAGGTCATTGATTTACCAAAATTCTGCACACATTCTTTGTATTTTATAAATCCTATTGTCTATTTCACCCTCATTCCTCTTCCACTTTGTACAACGAGTTTCATCTCCATAAGTTACCAAAGGTATTCTAGAGCACTTAATTGTTAATTATTCATAATTTGATCTATTATTAACTTCTCTAGCGTCTTGTGAATGTCCCAGACAATTAAGAAGTTTGATCAGTTGTTTGATCTTTCGCGTGCTAAATGTGAAAAGCTCTCGTCCAAGTCACTTTTCTTTAGCTATTCATTGTCCTTTGCTGAAGTACTTACATTATCTTTGCTCCTTATTGCTTTGTGAGCTTTCAAACAAAAAGAACTATAACTGAAGGGTTATAACTCAATTATTCCAACTGCATCTAGATTTACGGGATTGAAACTATAATATTTGGAACGTGTTTTAGATACTTGAGGTATGCAGATGTAGAAACAACTGTGAAAATATTTCACATCCTCTTCAAGAAGATTTGGGATGAGGAACAAGTACCATCAGATTGGAAAGAAGGATACCTCATCAAAATACCAAAGAAAGGCCATCTCAGCAAGTGTGAGAAATACAGAGGCATCACTCTTCTTTCAATACCAGGCTAAGTCTTCAACAGGGTATTGTTAAACAGAATGAAGGACTGCGTAGACGCCCAACTTCGAGATCAACAGGCCAGATTTCGTAAGGATCGACCGTGTACTGACCAAATTGCTACATTGTGGAACAAACAATTGAATGGAACTCACCACTGTACATCAACTTCATTGACTACGAGGAATCATTCGATAGCGTGGGTAGGAAAACACTGTGGAGGCTTCTTCGACACTACGGTGTGCCTGAGAAAATAGTTAACATCATACGGAATTCTTATGATGGATCCAACTGCAAAATCGTGCATGGAGGTCAGCTGACAGACTCTTTCGAGGTAAAGACCGGTGTCAGGCAAGGTTGTTCACTCTCAACCTTACTCTTTCTCCTGCCCACCGACTGGATTATGAAGACGTCGACGTCTGGAGGGAAGCACGGTATCAACTGGACAGTTAGGACGCAGCTGGGCGATCTGGACTTCGCAGATGACCTGGCTCTTCTATCGCACACGCAACAACAAATTCAAGAGAAGACGACCAGTGTAGCAGCAACCTCTGCAGCAGTAGGTCTCAACATACATGAAGGAAAAAGCAAAATTCTCCGATGCAACACAACATGCACCAACCAAATCACGCTTGATGTAGATGCCTTGGAGGACGTGAACACGTTTACATATCTGGGCAGCATCATCGACGAGAAAGGTGGATCCGATACAGATGTGAGGGCGCGGATCGGCAAAGCGAGGGCTGCATTTCTACAGTTGAAAAATATCTGGAACTCCAAACAACATTCAACCAAAATCAAAATCAGGATATTCAATACAAATGTCAAGACAGTTCTACTGTATGGACCGGAAACATGGCCAACTACCAAAGCCATCATCCATAAGATACAAGTGTTTATTAACAGTTGTCTACGCAAAATACTTCTGATTCGTTGGCCAGACACCATTAGCAACAACTTACTGTGGGAGAGAACAAGTCAGATTCCAGTGGAGGTGGAAATCAGGAAGAAGCGGTGGAAGTGGATAGGACACACACTACGAAAAGCACCTAACCGCGTCACAAGACAAGCCCTCACTTGGAACCCTCAAGGCAAAAGGAAAAGAGGAAGGCCAAGGAACACATTACGCCGAGAAATAGAGAAAGATATGAGAGGAATGAACGAACATTGGACAGAACTAGAGAGGGAAGCCCAGGACAGAGTTGGTCGGAGAAAACTGGTGAGCGGCCTATGCTCCATTGTGGGGCTAACAGGCGTAAGTAAGTAAGTAAGTAAGTAACATTTATATATATATATATATATATATATATATATATATATATATATTTCCTGAAAATTATAACCACAGTTGTCCACCTTTCATACTTTTCCGCCTAATACAATTTGTTGGAAAGCTGTTGTAGATAGGCTGGTCAGACAAAAATCACCAGGCGACTCAGAACTAAAACCTTTATTCCATAATACACACGTTTCGGCTTTTGTTCGGATAAAAGACAAAATCCAGTTTGCATCAACACAGAACTATGTCCACAGATTAGGTTGCATCGATTGTGATTGAGTGTGTATAACATGGTCTGTCCGTGAAATCCTGATCAGACCCAAGTAACATACACATAAAAGCTAGCAGTCTTGTAGAATCCGAAATTCAACAAATTAAGTCAGCAATAACACTGCACTTTTGTTTGCCAACTATCAGACCGATACTAAAATTATACACAACATTCAAAAAGTACTTTCCAACTACAAACAAAGATATAGCGGAGGCATTAAATATATTGGTGGATCTTAGAGTCCTCAATGTAAATGAACGGCTAACCATCCGATCAACCAGAACAGTCTTTAGAACAGTCATATTTAATCTAGTTGGAATCACAAAACTAAAATACGAATTGACTGACTCATTCACACGACAAATATAACATTATCCCACATCTACTCACATAAAAATGAATGCAAAAACGTCTCACACAGGACCACCCTTGATCTGAATAACACAATGTTTGTGTCGTCAGACTTATTTGTGTTTACCAACTGTTTCAATCTGCTTTGTTCCATGAACAATTTGAACTGACTGCAGTTCAGACGATATGAAAGATAAGCTCTATAGAAACCTCTCTAAACTTCTTCACTCTCACTATTCTTGTTTAAATTTGTCTTAGACTTGCTTTTAGATATAACATTATCTTCGTCTAAATTTTCACGAGTAGACCTTCTACCAGGAGATTCACTGTCTGACTTAGAATATGACGATGTCGTATTTCTACTTGGCGAAGATGCTGAAAAAAATGCAGTCTTCTGACTTCCCTAAGTAACAAAGCAAGCATGTTCGGGATGCGATTCTCCTCATCGAATGCAAAATGTTGCTTACAGCATATGCTTGCGTCAGAACCTGGAATGGTGACAGTGAGTGAAGTGGTTAAGCGTGTTGACTGATTCACTTACTGCGAGAGTCTCATCAGTGCTGATGGCCTGATGAGTGACGAAGTCTCGGCTCGGATACAGAAGGCTCGATTGGCTTTCGCCGACTTGCTTCACTTGTGGCGTAGGCGAGATATCCGTTAGCTGATTGAAGGACGAGTGTACTGCGCAATAGTTCGCTCCGTCCTACTTTATGGCTGTGAAACAAGGCCAGTCAGAGTAGAAGATACGCGTAGGTTACTGGTTTTTGCTCACAGGTGTCTCAAACCATTGCTCGTGTAATCAAAGACAAGCGAGTAAGCGATTTTATTGTTGGGAAACTAGTTCTAGGTAAGGATGGCAGACCAACTGATGAAGTAGGGAAGCTTCATCAGTTGAGGTGGTTGGGACATGTGTTGTGTTTGCTCAACCACCACCTCCCTCGTAGAGCGACAGTTTGTGGTGTAGGAATAGGTCGGAAGAAAGCTAGAGGCGGCCAAACCAAAACATAGCACAAATCCATGAAGTCATTGACAACTGGACTGAGCCATTTTAGTAGGTGTAGACTGCCTGGTTGGGGTTAGAGAGACAACAGTAACCGATGTTTAAGGACTTTGAATGACATGCCTTGAAATCGTTTGAAATGACGCATTTGCATCCACTATTTGTCTTCTCTCAAGTTCTAATCCGAATTACCCATGACCTTCATCTTTCTCTTCTCAAATTTATTTCACTGGTATAAACTCTTTGAATGATAACTCCGAACCCTAATCTTTCCGATTACTGCTAATACTTTTACTTCTTCTACTTCTATGGGATTTGAATTGACAATTCGACCTCCGTGCTAATGTGGTATGGCAACTTGAACTGATGTCGTACGTACGAAGTTCTACGTTGTAGCCTACTGAATGATCAATTTCAATGACAGTGCTTATAATAAACAAAAATCTTCCTTCTTTCTCTCATTTTAGAATATTAGACGGAACTATGTAGACTGTTAACAAGCAAACTTTATTTACTATTAAGAATTGATTTTACAGCACATCTTAGAGATATTTTAAGAAACATTATTGCAAAGATATTGCTTATTACAATTTTGTCAATTGTGTCAGGGGATGGAAAAGCTAAAGTAAATTTCAAATGGTTCTTATTTCTTTCAGGTAATGTCTGAAAATCAATTTTATAGCATACCACCTAATATGTACGCAAAACAAGATTTCATGAACCCTGTCCCATCCAATAGATTTTATCACTTGATTTAATGTAACTTAGTAAATGACTTCATGAGTTAGGCAGGCTTATGAAAGACCGATGGGGAGGGACAGGGATGGGTAAAAATACTGTCGAAAGTTGTAGATTAACAAAAATACAAAAAGGTATTAAGTTACAATTTAAACGTATCACGACCACTTACTTGTCCATCATGTGAAATTTGTATACCCAATTCTGCAGGATCAAGGGCGACGGGGCGGTTAAGTTGTTCCGTAAACAGCTGATTTGACTCTGGTGTGAAACTTCTGTCATGTGAGGAGGGTAAAAACATATCAGCACTTTTCATTTCAGGAAGCGAATTTTCATGGCCAGTGTTATTGACTTTAAATAAATTCTTTTGTCCCATTTGTTTCATTACGATCGATGGTGTAATTAGTTGACGACCCTGAAAAAACCAAGTGAGTTGAACATCGTTGACATTTAATTCTGGATTAACACGACATGTTATTTCTCCCCTTCGTCCTTCTTCAAGAGCAACAGACACTGCAACACCAGCCACAACTGCTGAACCTGAATCCTCTGAACTAGCTGGAGGTAATGGGATGAAATCTGCCAAAAGCCTGGGTCTGACATCTATAAATACACTAGCTGGGAGAGCTGTGGAACTAGGGTGTGTGTTTCGGCATGTATACTGGCCACTATCTTTTGCTTGGAATTTCTGAACAACCATCATGGTTATCTGGATAGAAGAAGAAAAATCTGTTGAAATTGTAGAACAAGAAGTGATTGAAACATGATCATTTACATAAGGCCAAAACAATATTTGGGGAAAAACAAAATGGATTCATCATGTTTCGTGATTTCCAATCAGCTGGTTACAACCATATCTGTAATGAAGTGCAACACTGATACAATATGAAGCAGTAAATATAAATGGACTAAAGTAGCAGATATTAATAACAATAACTATGTGTATCCATATCTGTACATGGACAGGATTGGGATCTTCTTCGTTAAACTAATTCTTATTTCATGTACACCGAGGTCATTTTTCAATTCATTCATTAATTGAAACCTGTGTAAATTCTTTCAAATCTTGCTTACTTTTTTCATAACCCTTCAATTATTAATTCTAGACAACTGATCTAAAACCTGTGTAAACTTCTCTTAACTTCTACAATTATCGCACCACTCACCTTATCTGTTTATAGACTTTATCTAATTACTGCCTCACCCTTCATTAGGTTTTTATTTGAGCTCTATCTTTAAATGACCTCAATCCTGTTCACGTACAGGTGGGTATATATATAGTTATCGTTATTAATCTTTGCTACTTTAGTTCATTCCTTCATCAATGTATATTGCTTGCATCATATTGTATCATAACTCATTTTTACACTTTATAACACATATAGTAGTCAGAAGCTGATGAGAAACCATGAAATATAATAAATTCATACTATTCTGCTCCAGTTGCTGTTTTGGCCTCACCTAAATTCATAAAAGTGACAAACTGCATGTAAGGTCGCTTATTTCACAGAAGTGCTATATTGGAACGAAGATTGGAGTAATAGTATTTTGAAGAACCAATTTGATTATTATTGTGTATACTCTTATTGTATAATTATTAAATAAGTAGATTGTCAGATTTGTATGTTTCTTTTATTACAAGCTTTCCATTAACCCGTAAGCTATTACCATACAATTTACTATTATTGGTTTATTGCCAATTTATCAGTGACAGTCTTCCTTAAAGACATCCACTTTTGGCTCATTCATTTTTAACTGTTATTTTCCATTCATTGGTGTGATGTGGTCTGGTTTTGTAAGCATGTAAATGAATGTCTGGAATATAATAACAATCTTGGTAATCGTTAGTCCTTTTCTCTTCCTCTGCGCTCTGAGCTAGTTAGTATTAGGCCGACTGTAATGCATAGAGTATCAGTTCTCTCGTTTTTACTGAGTGTCGGTCACTGTTAGGAAAACAAAATTGTCGTTAGAGATTATGGAAAAAACAAAGCTATAAAGAGAAGAACTTTGAACGCATATTGTCATGATTCACATGCTAACCAATAACTTCACTATCACAGATTCACACTAATTAAACAAACATATCAAATAATCTAAGTTACTGAAATAAATACATAAACTTTTGCAATGTTCTTTAGAAATTTCTAGTTGGTTTAAGAGAGAAAATGGACGTACGATCACCAAAAGTGATGAGAATGAAAAACCCCGAGGATTATTTACAGAGTTTACTATTCGTGGTAAAAATAAGCAAACGTACTAGGAAGAGGGGAAGCTGAGAAATGTATAGAAAGCGGGAAATTTAGCAGAAAATTTATGCCATAAAGAAGAAATTCAAACCAAACAAATAGATTGCAGTATAAAAGAAAAAATCAGAGCACAAAATTAAATATCGATGCACTAAATATTCGATACTATATACACCAAAATAATTTAGGGCTGAAATTAGCACCCTTGTGAACAATGAAGCCATACATTGAGGGAGGGAGGAGTTCCGGCTTGCCTTTTTGTCGATAGTAATGAATGAGCCCAACTAGTCAATATATTTATCGCTACAGAACCAGTCGGAAGGAAGGACATAGACTCTTCCCTATTCTTTCCTGGCATACACACCTTGGTACATAAATATGCACCTGCAATCACAACTCCATTCTGTTTCTAGTTACGCTGTTTCAAACATATATTTTTATTGAAAAGAGAACCTTCGTAACTAAGCAGTTTTTCCTCAGTGTGTCTTGTGATTTAAAATCACATAATGAAGATGAAACTGCCAGGAGTGCTTTGAGCCCAAAGATTTTTTTGAGTTTTACCGCGGATGGGACGACAAAGTCTTATAAGTGAGTATTTACTAAGTATCCCGCTATTTAAACACAAGAATCTGCTGATATAACCACTTTTTATGATAGAAAATATAGTGATATAAGCCAAAAATAAACACAGATGGTGTGCAGAGTAAGCACTTTAATAATCTGAAGACTTGGAATTGCTGTATCCACTAATCTAACGAGATTCTCTTGAAAATTAACATTATTGCTTGGTATTGTTTTTAATTTTCGGTCGAAACTAATCTGTCAGCGATGAAAAATTATCTAAAATCGAATGGTTGAAGAAATAATTCATAAACTTAAATTTTATGAATTTCTCCATATTGTGACTACAGGTTATTTTACTTTAGAAGTGTTCTGAACCACAACGATGATACACGTCACACAATGTGTTGTCATGCACAAAAGTGCACAGATTCAGCTTACATAATGATAAGGTTTTCAATATTTGATAACCTTTTCTCACCAGATTACTTTTTGAAGTTAAAAATCCTAGTAATCACCAGTTTAGATCAAACGGAAAATCGGTTCTAATACTTCAATAAGACTGACCCCTTTTGTGAATCTTGCGTCAGGGCAACCTTCTCGTTTAGTTTACATGTTACTCAGATACAAATGTTATACACCACATCACAAAATATTTAAAAAACAAATAGCTGGGTACAAAATAATGTTAAACATACTAAATGATCTTTGGAGTGAAAATCAGGTACAGAATATGCAGTATGTTGATTGTCAGATGTTGGGTTGGAAAAATAGTTCACCAATTCTTTTCCATCCGGACTATTCCATACAAGTTGCTCATGATCATGACCGTTACTTTTACCTGGTACACAACATATTAATGTTACCCGACCGCCTTCTGTAACCAGGCGTCTTTGTTCCCCACCGATAATAGAAACTTGGTCACGATTATTGCAAAGATTCTCTATTCTAAAGTGAAAAGAAGTTCCCGATCTATGGTATAAACACACAATGACTAGCAGTAGAAACAGTAAGTAGCGTTCCATCTTCTTATCAGCTGAAATAAAAGGCAATCGATGAATGAGGAATATTCGTCATTTTACAAAATAAATAAATAAAATTTACTTTGGAGGGATTATAAAGCATATAAATACCTAAAAAACAAACTAGGCAATTTATACACGTTTGATATTTTAATAACTGCTTTAAAAGTTTAAACTCCGCCAGTAGAACCTTCGGGGCTACTGCCGGTCCCAAGCCCGGGTAAAGGAGGAGGGTTGGACATGGGATTGGTTTAGCATATCTTTAGTACATTGGTCAAAGTATCACACAGGAAGTTGGCTATGTCTCACAACCTAATATGGAAACTGATGACTGGTAAGCAAATTAAAGATTTTAATTGCGAATAAAACTATACAATATAAAAGTTAGTGTTTTTTCTTACGCCTAACAGGAAAGATTTCTTCTCGAATATCTTTAAATTCCTATTATCGACAGACAAATGTGAAATAGCATGCCAGGATACTTTAGTTAGCCTATTTACTTGCAATGATCCGACCGCAGCTACCACCTTGATGTGGTGGTCGGGCTTGACTACTATGATAGCCCATGTGAGCTATATTGGCTGGTAGATTTGTCACCGTAGATCCTACCGTGCCAGGCTGATCGATTGGTCGACAGTGAGACTAAAATCAGCAACTCAATGTCTAAGAGAGAGGTCGTACCTCTGACTGTCGAGGTGTGAGGGCAGTAAGGTGTTTCCCTAGGACAACCAGCATCTGAATAGATCCCGCCGTCTCATAACAGAAGTCGGAAGATTATGGTCCCAAAAATCTCACAATTTACTTTACACCACAGATAACCGTATCCGGTGGTAAGGCCGTTTGAAAAAAGGAGCTAACACTATACAAACTTCCGATAAAAATGCCATGCATGACTAGCGACAAGCAGTTGTCCCTTGGGCTCTGCGGTCACGCTCCCAGGTCGCAAAGACTAACAGTAATACAATTCCTTCCCAGATTCCTAAAGATATCCTTCCACGGTGTGGGCAGCCAGAGTACAGGAAACGTTGTTACTGGTCTCCTGAAACCCCTCCCTAAATTACCTATTGTAGCTTTTAATGTTGGTACATTATGACGAATAGTGCAACAGGCTTCCTTAGCTAGAACCCAAGAAACTCGTGCATCGATGTATGCTGCGTCTTAAGAATGCGCATATAGGATCCAAGTAGTGTCAGTCATTTGACCTAACCATGTCAAAATAAAGAACCAACTCGATTTAACTTTAGGTGTATATGAAAGCCATGCTGCTGCTTCCCGTGACCTCGCTTGTGTAAGTAGAAGAAGTAAAAGTATTAGCAGTAATCGGAAAGATTAGGGTTCGGAGTTATCATTCAAAGAGTTTATACCAGTGAAATAAATTTGAGAAGAGAAAGATGAAGGTCATGGGTAATTCGGATTAGAACTTGAGAGAAGACAAATAGTGGATGCAAATGCGTCATTTCAAACGATTTCAAGGCATGTCATTCAAAGTCCTTAAACATCGGTTACTATTGTCTCTCTAACCCCAACCAGGCAGTCTACACCTACTAAAATGGCTCAGTCCAGTTGTCAATGACTTCATGGATTTGTGCTATGTTTTGGTTTGGCCGCCTCTAGCTTTCTTCCAGCCTATTCCAAAATCATACAACATAGTTCTCAAACCTTTATTGGCATACGAGATCGACATGCTCTGAGTTAGGAATAGCGTGATCTAGCCGGGTTGTAAAATATTTTGCGTAAAATTTACCAGGCAAACAGTTGTAAAAAAATTACTCAGTAGGAAGGTTCATGCGTCCCGTAAAAAGGATTCAGTATGCTTTCAACCGCCGCCTATCTGTTTACTGCTGGTAAAATCTTATACAATGATTCAACTAATTAGAGTACATCACAAATAATAATTAATATGAAATACTAGGCTATTAGTCTGTGATTCACGGAAAATTAATCGATCAAACGCTGTTGAAGAAACTTCCGTTTTGTATCAAAAAATTAATTCATCATTTTTCTGGTTGTGTGCTGTACTTTTTAATCGGTCTGTTTTAAAACATATACCAAATTTAACATTCCGCCCTATGGACTTGATAAAATGACCACTATTCAAGATGTTTCGAAAAGTTTATAAATAAACAGGGCATATTATATACATGTCATTAAGAACTAGCGAGTTTAAAAACGAAGTGAGACAATCACCACTATCTTGTGATGAACACAAAAAACAAGTCGAAATATCGGACTTTTATGAGTGTACTCATGAGAGACATTCACACAGTTAAACAAGTTCTTTCTACATTTGTAAGTTAAAGTTTGATCTTATTTAGAGTTGTTAGCTATGATTTATTATTCAATCCCATTATTTTTATGTGATAATGATGTATTATCTCAGAAGCCGCTGACTACAGCAAAATCAATGGATAATAATACTTCCAATATATAATATCCACAATCCTTTTCACTAGCGAGTATAAACCTATTGATTTATTTAGGCTCAGTTCCTTTTCTTTTGGTACGATTCCGAGTGTTTGGTAGTTTCCAACTGATGGTGTTCTAACCACTCCACTGCCTGATTCGAAACAGTTGACGTTTGTTTGTGAGTTTGTTTGTCCCATGATTTCAGTGGATACATTTGTTTCAGGGCAGTACAATTTCTGGATACCGGCAGCTATCACATTACCAGGCCAAAGATTAGTTAGTTGGAGAGTGGAGAATAATAAGTAGAGATTTCAGATTCTAATAAGAATAGAATTTCAAGACTAAGTAAATAAATACATAATGTAGTTTATTAAATGGTAGTGAAGATTTTGAGGGAGGATTGAAGTATAATCAAGGGAGAGGAAACAGAGATAATAGGCGAGATCTATAAAGTTAGTGATCCGAGTTAATGGCAATGATAACAACTAGCGGGTCTCAAGACATGCATCAGGCGCAGCTTGTCCATGAGGGAAAGGATAACCCGTATGTAACTACGTGTTTGTTAAGTCTCTTCCTAAAGCTATCCAGTGAGGGGGCTGTGATAACCTCCACTGGAAGAGTACTCCAAGTTGCAACGACTCTTGATAAGAAAAAGTGTGAACAAACGTGAGTGTGCGCAAATTTTCGATGATCACCTCGAGGGGCGTAGTGATGATGCTTCGGTAAGATGATCACGTTGGGATTGTTTGGAGTGCCTAGTATGTTGTGATGGATAACTTGGTCACCTTTGATTCTTCTGTAACTCAGGGGGGATAATTCCAAGTGCTGGGGTCTTTAATTAGGTCCATTTTTAGAAAGACCGTTGACCCTTCACGGTAGCTGCTAAGTTGTGAATTTGAGGCAACGATTAATTGTCGAGTGTGGTTTTCGTATTCACTTATCGACAGTCATCTGTTGAACGCCAATCATTTCTATTGTTATTAGGGACCATATGCAACGAGGTTATCCATGGGCTGTTTGGCCATCGGTTTATCCCTAATCGATCATGTGGTCAAAGTCATTATTTTGTATAAAAGAGCGGATTATAGCTGAAGGCTCAAACGGAAGCCCAGACCATGCTTTTCATTTGCTAGTCATTCTGCTTTCTAGAACACAGTTGACTTTGTAGTGATGATTTGATATGCAATACTTCTGACTACAAATGGAGGTTTTGCTCAAGTTTGGTTGATTTCGTCCTTATCCGTGGTTGGTCACAATCTGAAACCGTATAATGAGACTCCATAAACAGGTGGGTTAGAATGATCATCCACCAGCATTGGTTTGCTCGGGCCAGTTAGTAGGTTATGGCGTTGCAACTAATTTATACCAATGACTGGCATTGACACGTCTGCCTCAACAAAATTTAAGCGAATTGGTTTGGTGAAAACCATGCTGGGATAAACGTAGTTTTTACCGTTAGCTGCCCGTAGACTGAAAATCGGATTGAATAGACGATCGCTCGTGTTCGCTGGAAGAGCGTTCAATTCTGTGCTAATTTATACAAGGTAGCGAATCTTCGTCGTCACATCAGTAATTTGAGGAAGACGGTTTTTCCACTGTCAATGGTAGCCGTTGATTCTTGCTGCCAGGAGATTTCAGAGAGAAGGAAACTACTAGGTTTTCCGGAATTTTTTCAATATCTGTCATGAGTGTTTTGGTACCGACCCAAATGTTGTTTATCTGTTTCCCGCGTTTTTAAAATGAACCTCTTTTTAAATGGTCTTCATTTCTCGTTCGCGACTGCCTGTGCCAGATACCGTTTTGTTTACCAATAAAAATGTTGGACAACATTGGGCATTAACATCTTTAGGATCGAGGATATCCAAAGACAAATAGGACTGAAGGTCAAAAGTGAGTATAGTCGAATGTATTTAGAACCTTAACATTTGGGCGTCTATTGAATCTTTGATCTGACAGTTTGTTGAAGACATTTCCTGGTATTGAGAAAAAAGCGATGCGTCTATAGTTCTCACACTTGTTGAAATATCCTTTCCTAGGTATTTCGATGTGGTATCTTTTATTTCAGTCTGTTGGTACTTGTTTTTCTCCTCAAATCTTACTGAAGAGAACGCGGAGTATCTTTGCAATTATTGCAATGTCTGCTTCCAATGCCTCAACTGGTATATTGTTTGGTCCTGCTGCTTTGCCAGTCTTGATTTATTGAATGGCCATGTTGATCTCTTCAATTGTTGATGGGTCAACAATAATTGAAAGGTCCGTAGGTGCTGCTTCGATGTTGAGTAAGTTCAGTGGATCTGGTTTATTCAAAAGTTCTCCAAAGTGCTCTACCCACCTGTTTCACTGTTCTTGAAACTCGATAGTTGGTTTATCTATCTTTCTCTCAACTGATCGTTCTGGTTTGCGATATTGTCCAGCAAGCCCCGTCGTTGTTTCATGAATTTGTCTCATGTTTCCTTCTCTTACAGCTTTTTATGCTATCATTTCAAGAGCTTCCACATATTTATGTTTGTTGGATTTGATGCTCCACTTCACGTCCTTGTTTGTTTTTGTGTCATCTAACTGTCGTGAATTTCTCTGCTCCAGTCCATCTGATATTATTTTCTTGAATAATATCCAGAGTATCAGCAAAGATCCATTCCTTTTAATCGTGCGTTTTGTGGCGCCGAACCTCATGACATTTTAATGTTATTGCTTCATTGATCCCTTTCTAATTGTTCTCCATGATAGTTTCCTCTCCATTGATTAAAGCATGAAAGGCTTCAAACTTACTGTTAAGGGCTATATTAAATTCGTTAAGTTTGCCAGTAGCCCGAAAAAAGGCTGTTTGAAATTTTTGTAATGCTTTCCACCCCATTATCCAATGCTTTATTACTTTCAGTTTCATCTTAACCACCACCAACCTGTTATCTGAAGATATATCAGCACCTCCATCTGTTCTCATGTTCTTCATGGTCCTTCTGAACTCTTCACTGATGCAGATGTAATCAATTTCGTTCGGTGTGTGGTGATCCAATGAATTATTGTTGCTTCGTGTATGCATTTGTGTCGGAATATGATGAAGGTACATATGACCCTTCGGGTCTACTGCCAGTCCCAAGCCCTGATAAAAGAGCAGGGGTCGGACATGCGGCTGACGCCCCCATACCAACTAAAAATAACTCGCCAAAAAAACGCTAACCAGAAAAAATAATTCAAACCATTTTAATGAAAGCCGAGCTCCCTCGAAAGTCACGGGGACGATGCCTCTTCTGACAACCAGAGCAACCATTTTTTTTAGGTACATGGAACGTTCATACATTGTGAGACAACAAAAGACTATTTCAATTTGCGGTAGAAATGAAAAGATACAACCTCGAGATGCTCGACATCAGTGAAACGCATTGGACACAGGTAGGACAACTGAGACTAGCTACATGGATTTCACCGGACCACACTACTCAAAACCAAATCAACCATATCTGTATCAACAAAAAGTTCAGAAGGACTATGGAGGATGTGAGAACCAAGAGAGGAGCTGATATAGCTTCAGATCACCACTTGATGGTCGCCAAAATGAAACTGAAACTAAAGAAGCACTGGACAATGGGGCAGACATCACACAAGTTTAATACGGTCTTTCTTCGGGATACCGTAAAACTCAACGAATTCAAGATAGCCCTCACCAATAGGTTCCAGGCCTTTCAGGATCTACTCAATGGAGAGGACGCAACATTGGAGAACAATTGGAAAGGGATTAAGGAGGCAATCACTTCAACATGTCAGGAGGTCCTTGGTCGCAAGAAGCACCATCACAAGGATTGGATCTCTGTTGGTACTCTTGCAAAAATTGAAGAAAGGAGAAACAAGAAAGCAGCAATCAATGTCAGCCGAACAAGAGCGGAGAAAGTTACCGCACAAACTGCATACACCGAAGCAAACAGGGAAGTGAAGAAGAGCATCAGAGCTGACAAACGAAAATATGTGGAAGATCTAGCAATGACGGCGGAAAAGGCTGCAAGAGAAGGAAACTTGAGACAATTGTGCGAAACAACAAAGAAGCTCGCCGGGAGCTATCGTAAACCAGAACGACCAGTGAAAAGCAAGGAAGGCAAAGTAATCAGCAACACTGAAGTACGGCGAAATAGGTGGGTAGAGCACTTCAAGGAACTCTTGAATTGACCAGCTCCATTGGACACACCCAACATCGAAGAAGCATCCACGGATCTCCCAATTAATATTGGCGCACCTACAATTGAGGAGATCAGTTTGGCCATCAGACAAATCAAGAGCGGCAAAGCAGCAGGACCAGGCAACATTCCTGCAGAGGCAATGAAAGCAGATGTGGAAACAACTGTGAAAATATTTCACATCCTCTTCAAGAAGATTTGGGATGAGGAACAAGTACCATCAGATTGGAAAGAAGGATACCTCATCAAAATACCAAAGAAAGGCCATCTCAGCAAGTGTGAGAAATACAGAGGCATCACTCTTCTTTCAATACCAGGCTAAGTCTTCAACAGGGTATTGTTAAACAGAATGAAGGACTGCGTAGACGCCCAACTTCGAGATCAACAGGCCAGATTTCGTAAGGATCGACCGTGTACTGACCAAATTGCTACATTGTGGAACAAACAATTGAATGGAACTCACCACTGTACATCAACTTCATTGACTACGAGGAATCATTCGATAGCGTGGGTAGGAAAACACTGTGGAGGCTTCTTCGACACTACGGTGTGCCTGAGAAAATAGTTAACATCATACGGAATTCTTATGATGGATCCAACTGCAAAATCGTGCATGGAGGTCAGCTGACAGACTCTTTCGAGGTGAAGACCGGTGTCAGGCAAGGT